AGGAGCGGTTGCACCCAAGGAGACGAGAGCAGCAAGGCCAGCAAGCAGCTTCATTGTGAGTTTAGGAAAAAAAGTTACTGAATCAGGTGTATATAGAGGTGCTGGTGATGGGAGCAAGGCGGCGAGGCTTGTTGAGCTTCGATTGCAGCGGTGATGAGGCTAAAGAAGAAGCATTTTCCTTTGGCGGACTAAGATGCTCTCCTCTACTTATACTTGTTCCCATGTGGAGAAATCTGTCCATGGTGTTGACAAAATCCAGCACAGGCTTGCCTGTCTCCTTGAGGAACTCTACCGACACACGGCGACGGGAGCCAGTGGCGTAGATCGCAGAACAGTTGACGTCCGAGTGTCGATCTATGGGGTCGATATCAGACATTGTCAAGTTTGGTTGAACCATTTTTCAAGGCAGCAGCCGGGGATGGCAATGCTACTTGCCTGATGGCGTTAGGTGGCTGTTTTCTTCGCTTCGTTTCATCTGACAACTCGATGTTGGAGCTGGGCGCGGCTCTGGATTGACGGGGTACGCTGATCAACGGTGACACCAGCGGAGTTGTATAGCGTTGTGATGGTGTCTTTGAGCGGTTTTCATATAGACAATGTATACATTTGGTCAATGGGTAGACGTCGGACCTGTCCAAATATCAAGGTCAACAATTACGGCAATTGCTAGCAGCACATAGGTGCTAATTGATCATCCATATGGGAATTTTGCCCGTAGCAACGTATTGACTGAAATCACGCATTCCCCTACCCCTTGGCCAGCCTTTGCCGCAGCATCTTGTACCCAGTCGAATGATGATGGGCTGGGGCTCTACTGTAGTAGCAACATTGAATGTTGATAGTAGTGTGAAGGTGGGTCAGGATTGTGTCAGTCAATATATGCAAGCTTCGATGTCGGGCCATGCTTCCTGGGTGGCGCTGCCCAGACGAAAAAATAAACTGGTTCGGCCCACCGCCCAACTCGTGGTATACACTCCAGTGGTCGAACTTGTTTGTGGTGGAGGACGGGGACGTGCGATGGTTACGAAGCTACTGCGTTTCCTGTCTGGTGTGACTGTGTAGTTGATAGTCGTACATGATGGTATCGAGATGGTTGCAAAACTACCAGCCAATGCAGAAAGTGCCAAGCTTAAGAGGATAGCAACGGTGATGTCAATGCGGAGATTTTCAACACAGCGATATGCCCTGATAAAACAGGAAGCTAGAGGGCTTCCTACAGGGGTAGAGTATCAGTGGTCTCCTGAAGATCTGCGCCTGATGGTGTGTTTCCAAGCCACATGTAGCACAGTTCATCAGCAACATTGCGTCCAGTATACACTAGCAATCAGTCAATGGAGCCAAGCGTTGTTTGTGGCTTCGTTTCCATATTCCCCGTTCAATTGTGTCAAGTAATACTGGGGTTAATACTACTGGGGATATCCAATAACGACCCGGCGATGCATACTCTCGTTCCAAACATCTTCCCACGCACAAGAACAGATCGGCATCTGAAACTCGTGGTCAAACGACATTTATGCCATTGAACCAAGAATTGCCAAACTCTGGTACCGCGTGAACCACGATCCGAGTCGCCCAGCCGGCTCTGCCAATACCACCTCTGGCCTTGGCAACCCCATTTTCTCGACTTCAAATGACCCGGCGGGTCGCTTGTGGCTCCGAGGGGAAAGCGCAGGGGGGTGATTGTGCGTCCAATGCATTGGATACCAAGTTCTTTCAGCCAAGGCGTCTAGGTTCTTGAAGGCGGACCTGGTCCACCAACCTACGATCATCTCCGGAACCAGTGTCCGATTCGCTGCGGTTTGTTTGCCCCTTCCCACACGGACATCTGAAGCAGGCTTCTTGGTGACCTTCCCTTCTGGTATATGCTCGCCGTATCAGATGGCATGTTGTTCCTGACAAATGTCGATCTTCGTATACATCTCTGGCAAAAAGGTAGACAAAGCCGAATCGCGACCGGGAGAGTCATCCCATGGGCATGCCAATTTGCAGCACATTGTTGCTCCGCAATAGTGACAGGTTTCACCATGCAATTCAACGCTAGGCGAATATTCTATTTATGTTTTCGCCAGAGGGACGATCGTTAAAGCAACATGGGTCGTATAGTAACCCCGGTATACGGGGCTTAAGTCCCGACAGTGGCTTACCTGTGCTTGGTTTACATTAAGATACCAGACTGCGGTTGCTTTGCCTCACCGTCGCTCCGATACTGAAACAATCTTATCAGCATGAAAGTGGTGCAAATCCAATCCTGCGAATCAAGCCGCCTTTATGCAGATGTTCCAGCCGAGCAAGGTCACAACCTCCTACACGTTGTAACTCGTTGTACGGTACCCTCCTGGATATCAGAACCTGCGAATCTCGATTATCATATACGAATAATAATATTCGCCGCAACATGGGCGAAACACGGATTTTTAACCCGTTTACTTTCCATTTATCGGGAACCATCCAAAACACGTTGTCCTCGCACGTGGAACGTATGCGGGTGTACTACGGAGTGCTTTTCCCGAGCAGCTCATATAGCGTGATAAAACGGACAGGCGCGCACATGATCCGGAACCTCGCTGACTACGGCATGCTTTTGAGTTCCTGATGACTATCGGCAAGCCAAAGCATGAGGAGAGAAGAACTCGAGTATTGTGATATGCGCTTCAAGGCGACTCCATTTTACAGAGAGCGCCTGAAACGACCCATGGTGTAGGCAATGCGGATAAGGTACATATCGTATGCCAATATACCTATGTTACTATCTCAACGCCTTTATCCTACTCATTATACGATGCATGCTGTCTCTAGCATTCATTAACGACGCTTACCTGGCATTTGTTGCTGTGTTGGGTACTTGATACGACGTCAAAAGTGTGGTTTTAGACGCGGGCATTTGGTCCACAGCACTTGGACAAATAATCAAGGATGAAATATCAGATTCGCAATAGTTACAGAATTCGGACCAGGGACTAGGCAGTTTGCATTATTACTCCAGTTCCCTTGCGTTCCGTAAAAATGTGACGCCACGCGGGATATATTGCAAACTGGCAGTAGAATTTTGACACTTGCCTTTCACCGTCAAGACGACACTTAGCCAGTGGAACTCCAGCATGGAGCTGCAGATCTGGACGATGATACAAAATATTACGTTTAATTGTGGCTCTGGAGATGCGATCTGCCCTTTCCCAAATCCCCACTTGCATAACAGGGGATGGAGCCATCTTGATTGGTTGGCCATCTGCCGCATCATGTTTCACTCCAGAACCGGGGATACCGCCTCCATGGATTTGGCTGGGTCTCGTCAACGTGGCTTGCGGTTTACCTCTGGGTTTTGGTTAGCCACGAGTGTGGCGGTTCGATACTTGCGAACCGAGATGTGCTACCAATATCCTGAATGTGGTGGCGAGGGTGTCTGCGGGACGGCAAATTCTGTTAGTAATAAGACTTGAGGCTACGCATGACACGGAATAAATATATCGACAGTATTATAATTGATCTCCTAGAGACAAGCACGCCAACTGAAAACTCGGTTAAACGGGGAGCAAAAGCTGGTTTCAAGCTATAGTGGATAAAAATCCAAGCAAACCTTAAAGACTTTCTAGATAGTCTCACCAGTTGCCACAACTGCAGAAGAGTTTCAGTCACGTAGGGAACCAGCTTTAACGAAAAGTACTAAGCATATGCAGCTCTAAAAATTTGTCAAGCAAATGTCTTTCCCGTAATTCGAGTATATTATTGAACCTTTGTCTACGGTATATACTGCCAGTATAGTTTAAGTAACCAGTCTAGTTACAGTATTTATAATATAGTATCTAGAGTTCCTCACAGTAAATAAACTCTTTCATGCTAATTTATGCCAACCTCACATTGTATTCTTGATTCATTCTGAATCTGGTAGGGTACGGAGCTGGCACGGGTGGCATTTCCCAGACTTGTTCTCTCCAAAAACACTGCCTCATGTCCCTCGGGGGCAATTTTGATCAATTTGTGTAGCACGTGCGTAACGGCGAGCGCCGTCACTGCTAGTGTGGCCACATTCTAGATAATAATAGACAATGTGATCGCACATCCTTTTTCTTATATTAGCAGGATGCCTAGGGTATACATGCAGCGTATTTTCTATAGCTTGAATGCTTTCAAATAAAAAAAAATAAATCAGAGAAGCAATAGCTTGATGTGGCCTAGCCTGGCGAATACAGGTTGAACATGAGAGTTTTGCAGATACCAGTTGACGTTCAGTTTTTTGGAAAGATAACCCCCTGATATATATTTCACATTTATCCACCTTTTGCGGTACTGATAAAGGCGGCTGTGAATGACATATTCGCTTCTTTCAATGTTTAGCGAAACGCCTGCCCACCTAACCTTGCAACGTGTTTTCTGCCTAGGTGTCCCGAGCTCTGCTGTAACATGCCAAGCAATTGGACATCACATGAGATATCTCTGTTTGTTGGCTCTAGTTCACCATAATAGTCGCATGCTGTTGGCGATTGTAATACCTGTGCTGAGGCAGTGCTTGTTGTGCAACCACTAGCTACACGCTAATAGGTCAACTGGTGCTTTTACATTCACCGCCAGGTGGTCAGTGTGCTACCGGCCACACGTATGTGGTCATGTCCCTTGGTTGCCTCCATGCCATAGCCACCTATTCTAGCAAGGCCGCGTCTTGTCACTAGGTCGTGTGATTCTTGGGTCCAGAATCCAGACGGCTTGTCCAATGCCAACAGCCATAATCCTTCTTCCTCCACATTACCTCTGTGCTGTGACGAAACTAGAAGTCTATAACGCCAAGAATACCATGTAAGCATGCAGAGATATCTAGCTGGTTAAAATTGGATAAAGCCTTGACCAAGACAAGATATTGTGACGTGAGTGGTCACGTGAGTGGTCAATGTGATACTGAAGCCCATGCATGGATGCGGCCCGTACTTAATATCCCCTCCCGCTCTCTTCTTTTGCTTTATCCCGAAAAATGTCTTCCAAGCAACTAAATTCCAAAATTGCAACTCAACATGGATCAAACACTGCCTGATCACAGAGCTATAACCGTTCCAGTTCCTACGGCCGACATCACAGCTGAGGTTCAAAACCGCCTGGAGGCAGCAGCTATCAGCCACTTCGTTGTCCAGTATAGAATCCAGAAATATGTTATGCCTAATGCAAGCATACTAACGTTTGCCTAGGCTTTCTGACAAGCGATTTGATTTACTTATGCAGCTTATTGCAGGTATTCCCTACGACTTCAATAAACCGTGGCCATTCTGGTTCTATATTGGCAAGATCGTATCCAAGGCATTCTTTGGCGTCGAAGATCAACTTGAGTGGCTCAATGCCGTTCGAGTCCGTACAAGAGAGTTCATTGGCTTCTCAAATACTAGTACTGTTCAGGATGACGGACCAAACGACGAAACAGGGAGGATACAAGTTGTCGAGGTTGACTTCCTTAAACCGCAGCCGGGAGAGAATATCAAGTTATTCTGGAAACCTGCTAGAGGTATCATTTCCCAGCAAGTGAAAAACTGTAAGTCGTCTTTAGTTGGCCTCTATAATAGCTAAGTTAATCTTGCTTTTACGTAGGGATAGATTATCAGTCGAGCCAGAGCTGTAATTAGCACAGAATCTAATTACGTGCAAGCAGCGCTATTACCTGCCAATGTCTTTTTCTCGGCAAGGAAGTGCCAATACTACCCCACAGCACGAAGCTACGCGTTGCCGCGAAGATAGAGGCCCTGTTATGAATAATAAGACCCAAATATCTAGTGTGCTATAAACGCAACAATAAACATCAAATAATAAAAATGCTTTGGAGAACTGTAGCCTCTAAACCCAACTTGTACCGTTATAGTTCTCGCTTGACTCGAAACGGAAACAGCTGACTTGTTACGCGGTTGTCGGAATGCAGTCTGGATAGCAAAATTAGTTTAAACAAGGAACTACGTATAATAAGATCCCCGGCTGCATTATACTTTTTATACATGGGGCTTTATTCCCAAGAAGTCACTTCTACAAACCTAATCAAGAAAAGGGGAGACACTAGACTGGCTATAATAAGATTGGGTTCTGTGCTCCATAAGCGTAAAACAACCTAAGATACTTGTAGGTAGACGATTGTTATAACGATAAACCTAAACACACCGCGCTACACGAGGCTATTCATTCCAATTTCCACTGGTATTAAAATGAGGCTAGATGCTACGCGTACTTGTCTGATATCTCAGTTTCTGACCGTCGAGATAATAATCAGGTGCCCAAGCTCGCATTGAAGCCGGCATTTCGATTAAGTGAGTAGTTTACTTGGGGCTGGAATCTCCCAGGGCTTCTGGTACCGGCGTCGGTTGTATTCTTTAGCAAGGAAAGCTGACGGCTTGGTAATACAATTTATCTAGAGCAAGAGATTCGCTAAATAACTGGAACTGATGTTCTAGCTTCGCGGAGCTGCTGCTTTTGCAGGAGTTGACAGCGAAGAGAGCGATTCAAATGGGCAGAGGGGCGGCGGACTACACGCGAGGAAGACTGGGCATACTGTCTTGTCGGCATGATTGAAGTCTTGCCACTGCTGTACGATTAGGGTAAGTTGAATGCAACTCATCGGCTTAAAAAGGATATGACTAATGCTATAAAACTCGACAATCTAAATTCTCCTGTGTGCTCCCGGGTCAGATACTCACCGCTGCATCATCTGCAACGAACAGGGAGGCCGCTCAGCCGGCCCATCACCAAGACAAGAATCAGCTTCTTCAATGCGTTGGAAGCAAAGGAACTTGACGCCCTGTTCCGGCTCCTGGACTGGGAAATAACTCTCAGAATCGGATGTGTATCAGATTACAGCTTCAGGCCACGGCTCTCTTCTGCTTAGTCGAAGCATCTCAAGACCATTCCATACTTGTACCAGCGTCATCCTGTATACCGGTACATAGACCCTGTTTACGCTCTTTCTCGATATCATCGCGATCAAGGGGGCCCTCCTGGAAAAGTTGTAAACTTGTATTGCCTCTCTGTCTAGGACCGGGCAAGCCGTTCTAAGGAGTCGGGACTTCCCTCCGCGGGAAATAAAATCTATATCTGTATCCATAAGGGAAATGGGCGGCCGTGTGTTACTGATATTACTAATCAGCTTTCGAAGGTCCAGCAATTCCCCTGATTGAGTGCCGAACGGCGACCTAGACAGCACTCGACTTAACATATCTTCAATAAGCATGTAATTGTGTCGCCTCATCCAACAAGAAGGACTCAAGAAACCTACAAGATGCACTTACCGCTACGTCGAGCTCTTCTGTTTATTTGGAGACCATTTACCTGCGTCGGCACTGCCGGACAACCAGGTGGGAAAAGCGTCTGGTGCTGGCTACGTGAACAGCCTTCTTTCGCGTAGCAACGTTCCTTGGCGAACAACTACAATAAGAAAGCTTCTTGATCGCCCAATTACACCAGTGATCAAGTAAGTCTTGAAGCATCCCCGCCTAGTAATAGACCGACACGCTATTAGCGGAATTGCGCGCTTTGTTTTGGTGGTCGCTGTGCTGAGAGGTTCAAATATCCCGTAATACGTCACGACACTGAACCTGCCATTACAGCATATTTTCATGGAGGCTCGGCCAACCTATTATATCATCGCTCTATGAATTAGCCGTTGCAATTACCTCGTCTATATATACTCTCGCTTCTTGTAGCTATTGCACATTGACGCAAAAATTAGCATCCATCAAAGCAGTTCCTACCCGGTGGGAATTTCTAAAATAGCTTGGCGTACCCTCTAGGCCTAACATGCTAGTTTGTAGTCATACGTATTATTCTCCAACGCAGATAAATCCTCTAAGCGTTTTTTAAAGATAATGTTAAGTATACCTATTTTTTTTACGTGTAAAATACACTAAGGGATGTAGGTTGTAGAGCTTCTGACTAGATCCGGCTAGTAAGATAGGTTACAGCGCTCATGTATACAGCCCCCAATAGATATACTCTGCTCGTGCCCTTGTACCGTCACGCCTGGCCTGGCTGCCCAGCAGCTAGAGGAGCAAAAAGGCCCCACTCGCCGTTCAAATCTGATACCTCCTGGGACCACTCGTTCTCTTCTTTTTCGAACTCAAACTCCCCCAACCCATCTGTCACCCACTGGTTGGTCGCCGTATCCAGCTTTCCGACTCTAACTAGGGATGGGTCCACTGCTGACTTCACGGCCTCGGTGAATATATAATCTATTTTTAGCGTATCACCCGTAACGGGGGGCTTCTCAGTAGAAACTATGAACGTCATTGGGTCAACGAACACCATTCCTGTGGGTGGTTGTGTATTAACCATCTTGGGTGCAACAAGAATTGTATTGGCTTCAGTGCCATTGTATTCGACCTCTAGATTTCCAACAGCCTGTTTCGGTGTCAGCAAAAATTACACATGCTGTTGTCTCTGAGTTTAGTACGTGCTCCTGCATGGTAGAGTAAACCAGCTTACATTCGAAGGCATATTTATCTTGGTGAACAGGAATCCGCCCTGGACGGAATTAGGGGAGCCGAAAAACCCGTTGGTTTTAATTTTTTTGTTGTTTTCGCCTTTAATTCTGAGGACAGTATTATTGGAAGAGGGAGTGGAAGTGATTGTAGCTGGAGCTTTAGTAATCGGGGTAGGATAAGTTGGTGACTTTGCCGCGTTCTTCTTCTTTTGCCCCAATATTTTGATCACAGTATTCGTGTCAAAGTCGGCGTCTTCAAATGTTGGAACGTTTGCTAGAGGACCTCCTACTGCTAGTGTAGGCCAAGAAAACGAGGAGCCTGTCCCGAACACTAGCACAACTGCGATACTTGGCATGAAATGCATTATGTGAAGTTGTCTTGTAGACCTGAAAATAAAGTATTGCTTAGATTGAGGGAAGTCTTAATTTTAATTTATAGAACTTAATAGTTTAAAGAAATAGATGTTTTTGTAATTATGGTATTAGACTCCCGGGCTTCGTAAGATATAATACTCTAGTTGTTGATCCCCTGTTATGATAAGCATTAAATTCGACTATTGAGTCATGAAAAAAAAAGAGCTAATAATAGCGATTGTCTCCGACCTCAGGTTGAAATTATGCGCTCTTGGCTCTCTAGACCCATACTAACAGTCCAATAGATCTTGGTAAAATAAAGAAATTATGGGGCTATACAGGGTGAAATAATCGTGGGAGCCTACTATAAATACAGGGATGAAACAAATCCTGTCTCTAGAGTGTTTTGGCCAGCAAAGCGGCTCCTCTATAACCTACCCTCTACTTATATGAAACTACTGCTCGACTCAGTCGACCCCTTGTCTAGTGGATCTAGCAGTTACAGACGACAATATTAATTAATGCTATTTCTGATACAGCAAATACAGGCTATATAAATTAATACGTTTTTTAAGTATTAATACTTTAAACAAGATGTTACAATACCGTTTTATGTTTATAAGGAAGTAAAATAAAGCTTATATTGCTACGCAACCTTATTATGCCTTTTATTCCTTATTACGACTAATATTATACTTACAAAGTAGCTAACTTAAGCTAGTAATAAGTTTAAAATTAAGAGTTAGAAAATTACACTGCTTCAATATAATAATATTTCCAAAGAAACTAATTTTTGAAGAGTTATAATATAAGCTAGGATATATATAATACGTAGCTTATAAGTTGTCTGTTTGCAAAATCTTAGCTTAATCCAGGACCACAAATCTTCTATAAATTAAGAAGCATATAAATAGATCGAACCCAGATGAGGTGGGCTATGCAATTCCTGGAGATCCCACCAGCGTGGCTAGCGTGTGGTCAGTAAAATACTGCCTGATTTGCCGACACGACACAAGGGGCATAATAAAACCAGCTGCAATTCTCGCTTGTCAAGCGATACCACGTGTCAAGAGCGGCAAGTGGTCGCGTACGGAGGTGGACATTTAGTGTTGGGAGTAAATTGTATCCTGATAATAATTTATGGTTGGTCAAACCAGTTAACCAGTATTCCATGTAACAAGGGTTCGCCTGGAAGCCTGTCGTTGAGCTATTGGCGGCCTCAGTCGGATAAGCGAACCGCATAGCTAGACCTTTCCGTGCTGCGACGCAGACATTACTCGCTACTTGACCCCTTGCCTAATATCTCCGTTTTACACGTTTTGATCGCCTTGGGAGCAAAAGTAGGGTTGTTTTATTGGTCAACAATGTGCGGGCTATTAGACATGGGATGCCAGACTACATGTAGCACCTATTAGTATGTCAAGATTAAAAGTGAACAGCATAAGTAGCTGAGTATCAGACTGTAACCTTGTGGGGTCTCTGGGAAGGAATAGCTTCACGTGCCATTCTGGGTAGTATGCTAATTTTAGATGACATTTTCACATTACTCATGGCGGTAAGGACAGTTTACGGTCTTAACTCTGGGTTATAAAGCGCTTATTTAGAACGCTGGCTGGACATTAAAGTTCGAATTAACACTTGTTATTATCTAGCCTGCGTATTCCTTTCTACTTAGACACTCAACTTTACTATAGGCTATCAAAATGTGGTCTGTGTCGTATATTTTCATGTATACAGCCTTTTATGCTGCTCTTATTAGCAAGTGTTTTTGTCAGAAAAAAGTCACCGCCACGTTCACAGATCCCAGCACTGGGATAACCTTCGAGCGATTTTTCGGGGTCAAAACATCTTTCAGTTTTGGTATTGCTCTCCCCGAGACGGCAAACAATTCCTTTATCGGCCAGCTAACCTTCCCACTGAATGATGGCGCCGGCTGGGGAGGCTGGTCACTCACAGACGACATGGAAGGCCCTCTACTTATGGCAGCGTGGGCAGATGGTGGCAAAGTCGTATCTTCCTTCCGACAAGCCTTCAACGAGGATGATAATCCTCCCGAGGTCACTGGAAATTTCCGAGCCAGGCCGATAGCTGCCGGCACATCAGCCAACTCCTCGTTCTTCACATACACATTTCTTTGTGAAGGTTGCCTTGACGATGCGCTAGGTCTCGGTACAGCAGCGACATCAGGCACCGTCAAAATGGGCTGGGCCTTGGGTAGCGAGAAAGTGGGTAATCCGGCTTCGCCTGCTGCGATTCTTAATTTTCATAACAAGGGATTTGGAGGATTTCAAGCCCGGCTGGCTCAAGCCAAGAATAGAAAGTTCGATGAATGGGCAGCTATGGCAGGAGCTCCTTTGGCTCCCGCAACAAACGCGACTCCCATCACATCGAAGAAAAAGAAAAACAAAGGAAACAAAGGAAACAAAGGGGAAGGTCCGGGTAGCGCATCAGATGATGACTCTGATGATGACGATTGAGACCTACAGCGCAGACCCTTGCATTTACGATTGAGATGATATAAAACTTTGAGAAATATCACTTGATGTCACTGGCTATGAGTTCAATTGACAGTGGGCTGGTTCTCCTGGTTCTCGATTTGAAGCTGCATAAGTTAGGTTACTGCTTAGGCTACTACTTGGGGATAACTAGTTAAGAGCGAATTTTCTATCTATACGCGTATAAATTAGTTTATTTACTGGGATAGTTCGTATACTAATATTGTACGTGCACTGCACTAATTTCCGATTCGGGCAACCCGTGTAATCTCAGGCTACTGCTTATTTTATACATATTTTAGGATGCTAGCAAGTAAGCATACTGTGATAATCCTGACTGGTAAGAGTAAGGCGTAAAGCCTCTACGGGTATCTAGCGTGAGTAGCTGATCTCTAGGTTCTAAAAGGTATTAGATAGTAAACGTAAACTAAAATAAAAGTATAAAAATTACTAGGTATTTATAATTTACCTATTAGTTTATAATAATTCTAGTAGTAATTATAAGGAAACAGCTAGTTATAATATATAGCCTTAAAGTACTTACCTAAACTTTTTTAAGGGAATTAAGGTTTACAAATATATAAAAAACGCTATTAATACTAAAATAATTAATATTAAAAGCTAGAAACTGGCAGGCCCTAATTAAGGCTTAAAAGGCAAGCTAGGCAGATAAATTATTAGCATGATAAATCCAGTATAATATAGCTTTTTATATCTAATAAGGTTACCAGTATAACTATTACTATATAATTTCTAAGTAAATAGAAGTACCCTTTAAGTAAAGCTGTCTAATTAGCCTTAAACTTCTAGGCTTAGTACTCCACAAGGTACTCGACTTTCAAAGAGATAATATAGTAAACCCTTGTACAGTAGTAATAACAATAATAGTATAAACTAAAGTTTACGTAGCTTAATCCCAGAACTTCGCATTATTTTAATTTGTTCGGATGTAAACTCCTGCAAGCATGCGCTATATTTTATATTAGCTACTATAAGCACCTGTATAGTATTAAAGGACTTACTCATTGCCGTAGCTCATATAGTTGTAGTCGCAGTTGCTGCACGTGCTGTTATTTATATTAGTCCCTCTAGGGTTATTTGTAAAGAGAATAGATATAATAGCACGGTTTAACTTGCCTGTTTTGCCTATCTAGTTGGCAATGTTCTTTATATATAAAAGATGTATGACCGAGCTGAAACCAGTGGCCGATTTCATGAACCGCGGTTTTGCCCATATTCGCAAAAGGGTGTGGCCCTCCAGGAACAGTATCTATATTAATAAGGGAGCCATCTGACTTCTCGTCCAAGCCATTCAATTTGTATAGGATTGCGTGAATACTAGTTGTAGACCCAAACCATTCATCTCTACCTTCCTGAAGGAAGAAAAGATTAAGGGTTGAAAGATTACCCTTACGTAAGTCCTTTAATAGCTGTGGCCGAACAAACCATGGTCTTGGGGGCAAGGTTTTATTTGTCCAGTCTATATCTAATAGCGTAAATGAAATATTTGCTGGTTTAAAGCTCTTATTAAGCACGTTTAACTGCTTAAGTAAACCGCTATACTATAAAACTTTAAATATTAGTAATATATACATTATTATAAAAGTTGACTTTAAAGTTTTTTAACTTACATTCAGAGGGAACTCGCTTGAAATATTAGGCCCAACAACATGCATATACACCCCAACAGTAAGTACTCGGCTGTCCGTAGTATTAGTCCGAGGAAAATGTTCGTTCTGAATTGTATCAAGCTTTGAAGCAGCTTCCCAATTACAGTTGTTGCTTCTAATACTTGTAAGAGTAGTAGCTTTTATAACTGGCGAGAAAGTAATATATAAAGCCAGAATATTAGCAATAAATATTCGGATAAGCTGCATTTTGGTTCGAGTATAAGAAGACTTTATATAATATAAAAAATTTGATTTCTCAGGTTTCCGCTAATTAAAGGGGAAGACTTTATAAGTATATATCTTATTTTGTGTAAAGCTAAAAGCTGGAAAATAGTATTTATTTTATAATAAAAGCTTCTCTAATCTTTTGGAATACTAGTACTATTATATAAGAGTATAATACTAAGAAATTTATATAGCTCGAGTCATAATACTTTACGTAATATATTAATTATTTATATTAGCTTGTAATGCACTGTGAGGACAAAACAAGATTATATAAAAGCTGCTCTACTTACTAGTATAAATTCTACTTATACTATATCTAATACTATCTTTTTAGTAGTATTAGTTATATCTCCACTTTAAATTAGTAGAGCATGTACTAACCAGGGTCGAAAAGTTGACCTCAATTCTTTGACCCCCATTCCAAGAATTATAGCCTCAATGCGACCTCTGTTTCAAGAATGACTCGGGGAATATACGCATAAATAGCTCTACTTATGCACTTTCTATATCAGGGGTGCATTTTATGCGCGACCTCTATTCAAAAAAATGACTCGGGGAACGCAAGCATAAGTCGTTATAATTATGCACTTTCCATATCAGGGGTGCATTTTATGCGCGACCTCTATTCAAAAAAATGACTCGGGGAACGCAAGCATAAGTCGTTATAATTATGCACTTTCCATATCAGGGGTGCATTTTATGCGCGACCTCTATTCAAAAAAATGACTCGGGGAACGCAAGCATAAGTCGTTATAATTATGCACTTTCCATATCAGGGGTGTATTTTATGCGCGACTTCTATTTATCGCGTGATTTTAATCAATTGGTAGCATATTAATATACTAGGTAATATACTAGACAATGCAAGAGGGGCTGGATATAATTCGAGCATAAACGGCAGCAATAAGAATTGATATTAGCGGTGTTGTCGAGGAGACGTGGCTTGACGAACCCTGAAAAATACAGGTGGCTATCTAGAAATGTAGTCAAGTATATATATTCCCACAAGCCTCCTGGTAAAATTGTCAACATACCGCAACACCAGTCTTGTACGAATTCTTCTTCCACAACTATCCTACTCCCTTTTTTATCAGTAAAACCACAAAGATAAAGAGTATTTATCTTTGCCAGCACTGCAGCAGCCGCCGCGATCCGTGCGGTTACCTCTGTCTCGAGTCTGTCGCTCGTACAGCAGCAGGAACAACCACCCAAAAATGAGATGCCCTTGGAGCAGAGCCGGCAGGACATGCTCCTAAGCGAGAGGCTGCCATGGATCCAACCCGACCCTACGAATTGCGCAGGTAATTCGTCGGGCAAGGGAGTATCCGAATAATATGGAGGCACTACAGTTTATTGCAATGCCTTTGATAATAATTTTGGGTACACCGATAAGAAATTTGCCTTTGAGCCCTTATCACAATTAGGTAGTAAAAGTAGACTAAAATAAAAGTGTAAAAACTAGTAGGTATTTATAATTTACCTGTTAGTTTACAGTAATACTAGTAGTAATTATAAGGAAACAGCTGGTTATAATACACAGCCTTGAAGTGCTCACCCAAACTTGTTGGGAACTGATGTTGGACCAGATAGTGCTTGCGAAAAGGCTAGCTCAATAATTCAAAACTTGAAAGACATTTATACGAGGGAGTTCTGCCATCGTTACAATAGCGGATCTCTAATTATACCGAATGCCTTGTCCAGAAACTGGTATGTTCGTTGGTTGCACGAGGCCAAAGCCCCCATCTTGGCCTGAAGACTCCCTTGGCCCTCGCTCTCAGGCACCCATATCTCCTTATTCTGTGGAGGCACATTGGTTAAAGCCTCGAAGCAGCGCCTAGTGTGATTATCTACGTCCATATATAGAGACTTTCCAGCTCCAGAGACGAGAACTGGGCAGGTCACGCGGGAGAGAAAGCTCGTCCCATCCTTGCTGCCGCTGGCGAAGGTATACTTCTTCATGTGCTGGAGGATCCCTGCCGGTGAGGACAAGCCAAACAACGTACTGGTGACGGATATCTCCCACTTTAGCTGGAAAGAAACAGCAGACAGCCATCCTATCATCCGGTCTACAAAGCCGTGGCCTATCCAGCCCTTTGTCCAGGCCGATATGAAAATCGGAGACACATGAGCCGTTCCAAAATCCCACATGTCGTAGAAAGGATCCTATGCGGCTTATATTAGTATTTGCGTGCGCTTAAATTAGCCGGCGCGGAACGAAACTGATTCTACTTACGATAGATACGCATGCCTTGACCCTGGGCTCTGCCGCTGCCCGAAGAGCAAAGTAGCCGCCCATGGATGCACCTGAAACAGCGATGCTGTCCAAGTCTAAATCCAACTCGGGGTGTTGAGAACTAAACTTGACCAAGTAGTCGATGACTTGGGTGACTACCGTCTCCCAATCCGGCCGCATGGTGACCTCGTACTGCTTGAGCATCAGACCCTGGCCGGGCCCGTCAAAGGTCCATGTCAGGACGGCATATCCCATTCCGGGCCCTGCGGCAGGATTGAGAAAGTAAAGTTCTTCCTGACAGGAATCAGCCCCGCCACAATTTACGAGGATCGGCGTCTTCCTCCGCTTTATCTTTCGGTCGACGGGTGGGAGATATAAGTATCCTGGCAAGTGATACTCATCGTACGGTATAGATAGGCGATGTACCTGCCCGTCCATCAGCGGCAAGGCCTTGCGAAATAATATGCGAACTTTTTCCGCGATGGAGCATGCATCCTGGGCAAGAGACTCTCCATTACCCGTTGAGGTAGACACATACATGTATCCGCTGGCACGAGTGTAGTTTGCCGCGCGGAGGTAACCCCGTCTGGCTGCGTCGCGATCGCCGTGGCGGTGGGCTTCATCTGCAAGCTCTTCGGCCCGCAACGCCTGCGTTCGCCAGGCCCTTTCCCAGGACACGGGGTCTCCTGGCTTGATTTCTCCAACTGCCTCGAGGACTTCTGCGACATCAGCCCCGCCATAAACTGTGGTACCGAGGATGCGAATGGCCTCGAAATCGAAGAAGCCGCTGCCAGGGAATAGTTTGTGCATGCTGCCGCTCAAGTTTTCTTCTCCTAGTATCGAGTATAAGCGCAATCACTCCCCTCTTGAAGGTTTGTCAAAAGGGAGCCTTCTTTTTCAAGCTCTAACTGGTCTAGCTGCTGAAGCTACCGGCCAAGCGGGTTCATATAGGTCACAACAGGCTATGCGTGCGACCATGCCATGTTCGGCACTGTAGCTGCGATGCACGTCTACACCAGTGGCAATGCCCGAAGGATATGGGGTGTGGCTTTCAAACAAGATTCATAGCTGGGATATACCTGTTGTGTTCGGAATCACCAACTCGAGATATCGGAGTCGGGATCGGGGTCGGGGTCGGGGTCGGACGCCGTGCCGCGTTTTAAGGAGCGTGTGGGGAAATGAGAGCATGAAATACCACTGGCCAATATGTGTGAGAGCCGGTTTAGCATAATCGCAAGGACAAGCAGGTGGTGTGTCGAGAAGATTTTGGGCAGCGACGAGCGACGGCCAAAAAATACTTCTCCATGGGATCAATAACTGACTACGACTGTTAGTCATGCTCAAAACTCAATGACGTGCGTCGTCCCTGGCTCTCATGAGAAAGTGGGTAGTAATACTTCCCCCAATTGAGTCCCCCAACTCCATGGCTTCAATTGAACATGCTAGGAATTTAGCTATCAACCCGAGATCTGGAGTATTTTACGAATTGCCTCGTCGAACAGCTATCAATCAGATCTCAATTCCCTATCTGCGTAGAATCAATCAAGGACCAATCCACGTTTCCCTTCGATATATGCGTACCTATGGCGATATGTAGTACTATGTCACCGGCTGAGCTCGGTGGTAGCTATCTCCTTTTTGATCTTCCCCCCTTCATGTTTGGATAATTCTTATAGTAGTCCAGCTAGTTGTCAATATACTCAGCCTGAACCGTTACATTTATATATTTATAACGAATGAAGAAAGTGAAAAGGCTTGCCTTGAGCTCGTGACCGCTTTTTTATGTATGGTGATTGGATGAAATTGGGCTATTTTACTTTGAGAGACTTGTCAAGCGGCGCCGGGTGCACAGCAAATGGGATAGAGCATATTTTTATTTTGGCTTTGTCAGACCTCTTACAATTGCCCAGGTCTGAACAGTTCCCTAGCAAAGAGTATTAAAGGTCCAAGTGATGAGATTAATCTACGTAATTGCTCTTGAAAAGGGGTGAATTCCGGGGAAAAGTCAGAGCCTCAGTGAGGGCGACTCCATCATATTGGCCCAGCCCTACATGTCCGCCTCTCGAGCGGCCAGAGAAGCCACTACCTCCCACGCCCTCTCCGAGGATGTATTCAAATCCGAGGTTGAGATGCTCCACAAAGAAAGTGTAGTGGTGCATATTCGAAGGCGATACGAGTTCCAGCTGGAAGCCAGTGACTTTGTCTTTGAGAGTGCCTGTAACAGCTCCACCATAGGTTTTGGTGACAAGAGCATAGTCTTCCGTACCAGAGGGAGTATTGGCCGTGCTTCGAAAGACTGGGGCACCATCTTTGAAAAGGACAACAGACTGGTGCGAGTGCTCTGGGTTGATCTCGGAAGCGAAGGCAAAATAGCTGAGCACGTAGGGACCCAACATGGCCCTCACTGCTTGCAGCTTTCTCAGACATGTGAACCAACTATGTCAGAGTTGACCGATTAGTAGGCTGAGACAACGCCACGTGCTGCAGAACTGTATATGCAACTCACCTAAACGCGGACCAGAACCGCTCATGTCCCCCCATACCAGTCCATTTGATGGGCTTGCCTTTAATCTCGACGTCGGTTTCCACTGTTCCGGCCGGAATGGGCTGTGACCAGTGCCAGTAGGGAATGGGCGCGGTAGATGCCTTCTCAGCCGGCCACACGTTCCCATCCGCGGTCAGGGGCAACGCCCGCGAGTGAATGTACACCTTTCCCTTGAGAGTGTCAGAATCTAATGTGACAATGGCCTCTGTCAGGTCTGCGTTGACTTGGAAAGAAAACTGATGGCCAGTCTTCTCGTCTATCCACAGACCGCGGGTTCCGTGTGGGCATGTCTCGACGACAGATCGCTGGGGATAGTACACCTCGTAGAAGCGTGTGCGGTCTGCAAAGCCAACTTCTATGGAAAGACGGAAGTTCCCGGTACCTAGGATGGCGTAGTTGGCATCGCGGTAAAAGCCAAAGACGAAGGACTGCATGCCATCATCAGAGACTCCGTCAAACTCCCACTGCTCTCCCGCGGATGAGTTGAGTAGTGGTATCATTGGCTCTTCGAGGCTGCCCATGGCCTTTGTGGCGAAATCAACAATTTTTCTGCCTTTGGCCATCTCAAACGCCGTCATGTTGCTTACCCGGCAGCCCGCCCTGGTGTCATTGTCGTCGGCCGCCAGAGGAATTTGCTGACCTGGTAAGACATCGCTATTCGGCTCATGCCAGTGAGATGGCCAAGGCTCTGGCCAGCCATGAGTATTAGCGACGGCGGCCAGCAGGCCGATTATAGACACGAGACGGATCAACATTGGAGTGTTTTGGTGGCAACTATATTAACACGAGGGCGAGGCCAAGGGGAATAGAAGAATAAGAAGGATTTGTCATGCTTTATGTCTGAAGAATAGAGGTATCAAGCTCAAGGGTGTAGCATAGTCTTAAGAGTGAGAAAAGGCCGGGTCTCCGAATTACTCCGACTTGGAATGCCAAACATTACAGTGCCATTAGAGAGTATAAAATAGACTTGGGGAGCCAGGAGAAGGGTGTTATGTCCAGCTACCAACAAGTATAATCATTAACTTACTTCCACGCACTTGGCAGTCTGGTCATGGCGAGTGCGGTTTCTTTGCCGATAGCCCGCACGGCTATTGTCGAGGGCGATGACCACCGCCTTCGCATCGAGCATAATGATCCGCTCCTCCGTCTCCGACCGGACGAGGTCCTGGTCCATGTCATGGCCGTCGCAATCAACCCATGCGACTACAAGATGCACGAGCGCTTCCCCTGCCCTGGGGCGGTGGACGGTTGCGATTTTGCAGGAGTGATCGTCGCTCTCGGATCGGACGTGACAAAGTGGAGCATCGGAGACCGAGTCTGCGGGGCCGTCCACGGCTCAAATCCTCTCCGGCCCGAGTCCGGCGCCTTTGCCGATTACATACCGTGCGAATCCGAGTTCACACTCAAGATCCCGGCCGATATGTCGTTCGAAGAAGCTGCCGCGCCGGGGGGGACGGGCCTGGCGACACTGGGCATGGCGCTGTTCAAGGAACTGGCTTTGCCAGGGACCCTGGACGAGCCGGCGACGAAGCCGCGGACAGTGCTTGTGCACGGGGGAAGCTCTTCGGTGGGAACCATGGCGATGCAGTTGGTGCGACTGTAAGTAATTGCATAGCTCCATCAGGCGTCTGAGCATCATGTCTTGTAGCTGACAGAATGGGGACCAAAGGACAGGGCACATACCCATAGCTACATGCTCTCCCAAGAACTTTTCCCTCGCTAAAAGGTTCGGCGCGGCGGAGGTTTTTGATTACAATTCTCCAGACTGCGCCCAAAACATCAAAGCCTATACCAAAAACACGCTTGCGTACGTGCTTGATCCTTTTACGGATGCTAAGAGCATCGCCCTCTGTTTTGCGGCTATGGGCCGTGCCGGTGGCCGCTATGCCTGCTTGGAGATGTACCCAGACTACGTCCTCGAGCGCAAATCCATCAAGGTGGGCTTCATCATGGGTCCTTCACTGCTGGGCCACCGACTTGCGCTGAGCTACGGCTACGAGCGGGACGAGGATCCCGAAATGCGAGCGTTTGGGGTGCAGTGGTACCGTAGCGTGCAGAAGATGCTGGACCAGGGGAAGTTGAGACCACATCCACTAAGGATTCTGGGCAACAGCTTTGAAGCAGTGCTGGAAGGAGTTGATATGCTAAAACGAAAGGCTGTTTCTGGCGAGAAGTTGGTTGTGGCCCTTGGTTAACATAACTACCATTATCCATCATTATACATGTTAGCTGCCTATTGGCAATCCAGTCCCCCCTGCCCCTGTTCCAACATCCATACTCGCCAAATCAATGGATGCAGTGGCAGGATTTGCTCAAGTACCGTTAAAAGCTCTCGCAGGGGTGAAAGATGCGTAACGCAGTTGTTGTCGCTCAGCTATCTTGTTTCTCAATAAAGTAACTAGTCCAGCATTGAATCAATATTTTCTACGGAATATAAGGGGATGTAGCTGATAAAATAAAACGCGTTGTTCATGTGACAAATATTTATCATCATGTATGGTTCCAGCCGCCGAACATTGCTTCGGTGTTCGGTGGATTCCAACATGCACGTCGCATTTGGTCATCCGAGGGGCCTAGCAAGACGGCGCACTTTTAAATACCGCAGTCCTACTTTTATCGCGCACCCAAAACCCGTTGCTTAATAAAAATTTTGTTATAATGCTGAGCGCAGCCATTATTCCTTTTGCCATTTTGGCAGTATCATGCGGTGTTTTTTACTCGCTCGTCTGCTTGGGAGGCTCAGCCGCGAGGAAGCGGGCTCTGGCGCACATTCCAGAACTACGGTTTGAGAAGGATAATACGCCAGACCGATATAGAAACAACACTCGATCCCTTTTGAGAATCGGATATGAAAAGTACCTCCAGTATGGCGTTCCGTTCCAGATGTATAACCCGATTGGCGAGTTGGGCAACCAAGTTATTCTTCCCATGAAGTATCTAGACGAAGTCAAGCGCGCCCCCAAGTCGCTGTTCAGTTTCGAGGTGTTTTCAGAAAAGTTGTTTCTCCTGAACTATATCAACGCCCCTCGTCAGACCAACGCTGCCACCCACGCTATCAAATTTCACCTGAATAGGAACTTGAGTGAGAATAACCACCTATATTACGCGCGGCTTGTTTTGAAAATTTCAGACAATTTCAACTGACTGACGGCTTATCCCCACTTTCTAGATAATGTCATGAATGGGCTCTGGACTGAGGCTGAGGCATCGCTCAAGAAGACCATTCCTTCGCCGGGTTGGCAGTCGATTCCCGGGGGCGACCTTGCATGCAGCATTCTTTCACCCGTCATGTCGTATATTCTCGTGGGCCCGTCATTTTGCAGGGATCCTGAATGGCTAGATATTGCGGTAGAAACCACCTTTTCTGTCTTTGACGCCTCGTTGGACATTCGAAAGAAATATACGGCAAATTGGAGGTGGCTGGCGCGATGGCAGAATGGCACTGCGCAACGACTTGGGACGATTCGAAAGAAGGCCCTGGAGTTAATTAAGCCGCTATACGACGAAAGACGCCAGGCTATCAATGAGAATGATGGCCGAAGCGACAGCGGCTCTGAAATGTTTCACGACACCATATATTGGCTCTTGGGCCAAAAACGGGCTGACACCTCCTTGAAGGCAGTCGTTGACCAGCAGTTATTTTTGACCTTGGCGTCTATCCACACCACTTCTGGCATGTTGCAGTCCCTCTTATTCGACTGGCTCGCTCATCCCGAGTACCATGCTGAGATTACGGCGGAAATCAACGAGGCCTTGGCTGAGTTTAAAACTTCGGGCAGCGAATGGACGCTGCAGCGAGTTGCCAGGATGAGAAAGCTGGATAGCTTCATGAAGGAGAGCATACGGACGAATCCCATGGCCTTCAGTAGGAATCTTGAGACAATCTTGCACACTACACATTCACTAATAATGCGTCTCCACAACAGTCACCGGTCAGCGCTACGCGATCAAGTCTCACACGTTCAAGGACGGATTCAACTTGCCGGCTGGTACTATGTTCCACTTTGCCGCCGACGCCGTCCATCATGATCCAAACAAATATCCCGATCCAGACAAATTCGACGCATACCGGTTCCTCCGTCTTCGCGAAAAAGTAGACCCAAACCAGTTTCACTTTGCCTTCGTCTCAGACATGAATCTGAATTTTGGCGCTGGTCAGCACACCTGTCCGGGGCGATTTCTCGCGGCCGTGGTCTTGAAGTTCGCCCTCATCCTGCTTATCACTCGATACGAGATTAAGTTTTCGGACGGCAGCACGCAAAAACCGCCAAATGTGTTCGTCGACAATACTATGAGGCCGGATCCCTCTGCAAAACTACTCATAAAGGCTCTTATTTAAGGAGTAATTTCTGCGCCTGGACACGGTAGACGATGCCATCCAGACCATGGTTGTTGGCCCAAAGTCATCAAGCTGAATCTTCGCAAGTACACCTTATGTTAGCAGGATAATGCCTAGACTGATAGAATTCAACTGCCTTCATTATTCTTACGCCTTATGTCTTAACATAAAGCTAATGTGGCGTAGGAACAGAGGAATGTTCCCGTGTAGATATAGTGGCAACGGCTAATAAGTCATCGGCTATGAAGGATATGTTCATGTGCCAGGATATAAGTCCATATTTTCCTTATATTTACGCTGCAAATACACTAGCCAAATCATGCTTTAAATTTGATCATCTATCTTTGCTTCCATTGAAAGTTCTGTTCCGCGCCAGGAATCAGCGGGCGTAGCGCCATCCCGTAATCTCCACCGTTTGGTGTCCTCAACAGCGTGTGAATATGGAACTTTGCAGGTTCCTCATTCGTTAAAAAGACCCCAGAATGATGATCAAACTCTATGATTACGACCGCACTCTGTAGCCGATAGTAAAACGCATCCTCATTGGCAAATCCACCAATCCAAGAGAAGTACGTCTCGTGATACAGAGATTTGATATGCGCCAGACGAATTAACCGAGCCTTTTCCGGGAGATATAAAAGATATTGATGCAAAATTTTATCGACCAGGTCTCGTTGGTCCTGTGTAAATTCCGACACAGGGACGCCTTCATACGGCACGATGCGATTATCGCGATACGCGCCGCATAAGTGGCGCTGATCGTCGTGGTTCCACCGCCCATAAGGCATAGCGGCATCTTTCATATGTTTGTATGTTTGTACACGAGATTGTACATCTTGAGGTAAGCTCTGCATGAGTTGCAAACCGAGTGCTTCCTCTGTGTGCAGAATGCGCGTGCCTTTATAAGGACCAGAGTCTATGATGTTTGGTTCTGCGCCGGTAAACCATGGCGAGAGGACCATTTGCTGCTTGTAAAAGAAAACATTTAAGCATAAATGGTGTCCATAGAAAGAAAAGCCCCATGGTCGCGTCGTGGATGGTTCTGAGCCAAACAAGACGAAGTTGTAAGAAAATTCGTTCATTATTGCTGGTGCTTGGACCAGGTCACCCAAAAATCCATTGATGCGAGTAGCTCCAATTGCCTTCTCGAAACCTTCTGGGGAGAGCGTTGCACGCAGTACATTGATGATGGCTTCCCGAAGGTCTAGGGTAACATCGGAATCATCTAGGCGAATACCCTTGTCGCTTATGAGAAACTCGGGGTTGGACCATGTTCGCCACTCAGGCGAGTCAATGTGGTAAGAAAGGGTTTGTCGTTGCCTTTTGTTTGCTAAAAAGGTGACTAGTTTTGCGGCTTGGACAATGTGCTCAATGGGAATTCCTTGGTCTTCCAACTTGAATAGATCTGGCTGTAGTCTTCCTACGAAGAGTGACATGGTGAGTACGAAGGTTGTCTTGTCTCTCAGTGCTAGTGTACGTGGTGACATACCATTGGCAGTGATTCCCTTGAACGGCTCTGACAACAAGCCTTGCCAATGTTCATACAGCGCATGTAACCATGGCGGGTTCTTCTTCTCTTTGAAGGCCACTGCGTATTGATAACAGTCTTGCTCTCTCATCGCCGTAAACCTGTCCGTATTCAAGTCCGGCAAGTGCGCTCGGAACGAACTGTCAGATTGCATCGTCATTGTGACTAAGTTGTCGATAGTGAGCAGCTGGGCGGTTCAAAGTGTTTGTACAAAACCTTGTCTATTAGAGTCCCGTAACTCTCCGATTTGCGTGCAGCACTTGGAGCCGTTAAACGTGTCATTACTTATGCCCGATCTACGTACTCCGTATGCAAGTTGAAACCAGACCCCATGAGCGGAAGATGGATCCACATCCAGCGGATGGTGGCCCGGAACGGCACAACGACATCCTATTGGCAGATTCCAATATTCACATGCAGCTTAACGTCTCCATGTACACACACCGACCTTCCCTACAATCATCAAATACAAAGCACATTAGACTGCATTCAATTGTGATTGGGTGATGACAATCTGTGCATGTGCGGCGCACAACTTGCATATTTCAGAAGCTCGTCAACAATATCTCGAACATGGCATCATCCACCTTCAAGAGTAAGCTGCCTCACATCTTAATGATCACACGACTCTAATAGTAGTAGGGCTTGTCCGATTCGTCCCTACTTCGGATTCTAGTAAGATTCTCATAGGTCAACCCATCGATGACAGCATCGACGTTGGCGCCGCGCTTCGAAAGTGCCAGAAGGTCGAGGTTGAGGTTTTCTCTGGGTCATCTGTCCTAAGTCCAGGACAAAGATCTACGAGCCGCGACACGATTCAAAAACTGTTGTCGCCGCTTGCAGCTGAAGAAGTTGGCACCATTCGTGGCATCGGGCTCAATGTTGGTAGACCATTAGCAAAGGTGCCCAGAAAGAAGAGCTAACTCTCCATGACTTTTCACAGTACAAGCAGCATGCAGAGGAAGTTCATCTTCAGATTCCAACAGTTCCCACTGTTTTCATGTATATTCAAAACGCCCTATATGTATAATTGCCGGGGATAGAGCCCTATCTGATAGCATATAGGAAACCCTGCACGGCGATAGGTGACCCGTGGCCAACCCCGACCATGTTACCAAAGATTACTCAAATAGATGATTGTGGAGACTACGAGGCTGAGCTTGCTGTTGTCATTGGCAAAACTGCCAAAAACGTTTCCAAGGACGACGCGATGAACTATGTTCTTGGATACACGGCTTGCAACGATGTTTCTAGTAGAACGAGCCAATTCGCACAGTCCCAGTGGTCATTTTCCAAAAGCTTTGATGGCTCATGCCCCTTGGGTTCGTTACAATACAACCCGTCCCGTTTGATCTTATATTCTGACGGGTATACAGGTCCAGCGCTAGTGTCGCCGTCTGTCATTTCAGATCCTTGTACTCTTCGACTGCGCGGTGTGAAGAATAAGGAATTACTGCAAGATTGTGGCATAGAGTGAGCACGCTTTCATAGAAGAATATACATGGTCTAATAACTAACATATATACGTGCTCTAGCGACCTTATTTTCAGTGTAGCGGAGCTTATTAGCTTCTTGTCCCAGGGTACTACACTCCCTGTCGGTACGGTTATTATAACTGGCACTCCGGCAGGAGTTGGTGTTAGTCGCAACCCGAAGGTAACCCTGGCTCACGGCGATGAGTTTTGGGTGGAAATTCTGCCTCACATAGGTACCTTGGTGAACGTGTTCCAGAATGAGATGTAGCTAGGTTGGTCACCAAGGCAATTTGTGCAGATCATATCCTTCGTTGTTCAAGTATAGGGTTATAATAGCCACAGTCCAATTGACTACTTTGTTGCCCTCTAAAGTGCGTACCTTTACGATGAAAGAAAATTGCTCTGCTGTCTAGTATAAGCCGGAAATCTCGTATTCCAATGCAGTATTCTCTTTACTATGACTCGCTAATTGCAATGCAATACAGCTTCTCCATCATACAAGAAGCTATCCCAATAATCGAGGAATTTGATCCTTCAAGTGCTCAACTATCGCTTCAGGCCCTTTTGCCACCTGCAGACCGTATGGAATAGCATGTGTCTTGATGTTGGGCCTGATTCCCTTTGCCGTCTCAATCATGCCCTCGCTCTCCTCAGCAGTCCACATAGAGGCACAACACTATTCTCAGAGTCAGTAACCAAATGTCAAATGCCATGTTTGAAGCCCAAATTCACCAGTATATCAGGTTGCAAACTCATGACTTTGGTCTCGACTTCATGCGGGCCTGAACTCTCATTAGCACAATATCGCCTCGTACCAGAGCCACTGAATCAAAGTCATTGATTCCAATTTTGTCAATACCGTCACAGTTCCCAACATATTCAATCTCATATCGATCTTTCAGACCATCAATCACCCTTCCAATAACATACTTGGCCCTCTCGGGTGCATTATTGACGGTCACAAGTCGGAATGGCCTTGGCGTATAAATAGCCATAGTGTCTTATTCCCAAGTTGGTAAGAAATGAGTTGTATCTGCTGTGATTGAACCTTGCTTCTATTAAACTCTGACTGACAGCTCACATACGTATATATAACGAGTGTCACGGACCGCGCCATGCTTAGCACATGACTTGTACCAAGTCAACACTTTCCACAAATACAATACATAGTACTAATAAATTGGAGCATTTTAAACATTTATCCGACCTCGTAAAGCACGCCATACGGACCCTCACAACATCCTTTCCGAGTGGTGGAGTACCGGCCAACCTTTGTCTCATTGGCTCGGAATACAAGACAACCGAGGCCCATCGGCGACACCTGGCGGCGTGTAAATGACCAAAAGGAACTAGCAAATCTAAGGAACTATCCGAGCAGATAGGTAAGGTTAAAGTGCTCGGGAATTGCTCTCGGGACTGAGTTGTATTTTATCTTCTGCGTATCCCTTTGCCGTAGTTACTTGTGAAGCTTTCATCCCGAGAAGCATAAGAGACTCATCTTGAATCTTCATTCAGCAGCACCAGAAACCTTTGCTCTTATAGTTCTTTTTCGACCGTTCTCATCTTGCTTCACCTTGACTTTGGCGTTCCAACAAAATGGGCTCCAAATTGATCGACGAGCAGCAAAGCGATATCTTTGACCTACGATTTGCTATTGTTGGAGCAGGTATGTCATCTCCATATCAGTAATCGTTTGAGACCGATCGACCTAACAATGTCATTTTCTCTTTCCTTCTTTTTTCAGGCATAGGTGGCCTAGCGAGCGCATTAGCACTCGCAAAGAAGGGATTCAAAGATATACATGTCTATGAAAATGCGTCCAACTTGGGATTCATGGGCGCTGGTATCCAGCTGGCGCCCAATCTGGTACGCATTTTAAGTAGACTGGACTGTTGGGATTCAGTCGAGGCGGAGGCTACCGATGTGCTCGAGACAAGTATAAGAGGTGAGTCATAATATTCCATCTGCGCCCATAGACATACACAAGGATGCCGACGCTTTATTCAGATGGTGCAACGGATACAGAACTCGCCCATGTCCGCATGCCTGACATCCGAAAGAAATATGGATATCCTCATTGCACTGGCCATCGAGCGTCTCTAGTCGGAGGTCTATACCAGGGATGCAGAAAAATGCGCGCAATCAAATTTCACTTTGGTTGTGCTGTCACTGCAATCACCTCTTTCCAGCCAAAAGTCGAATTCGTCGTCAAGACACGAGAAGGCGTGGAACAACGCATTATTGCCGACACCCTGCTTGCAGCGGATGGAGTCAAGTCCATCACCCGCGTTGCTCTGCTCAACCAAATCAACCACGCCTCGGAAGTAGAAGACACCGGCCAGGCAGCGTATCGAGTACTTTTACCACGAGAAAAGATGCAAGACGATCCGGAAATGATGGCACTACTGGATAGTAACCAGGTTACCAGGTGGATCGGTGAGAAAAGGCACTGGATTGCGTATCCTATCCAGTCAAGAACCATGTACAACATGTCGTCAATCCAGCCAGACACCAACTTTGCCTCGGAACCATCCATGACCTACACGACAAAGGGATCAAAGGACACAATGCTCAGCGTCTTTGCAGATTTCTGCCCGCTTATACAGCGTATGCTCGATTTGGTCCCTGATGGCCAAGTTTGTGAATGGAAGTTGCGTGTTCAAAAACCTCTACCAACATGGGTCCATGGATCCGTGGCTCTAGTAGGGGATGCATGCCATCCCACTCTGCCACATCTGAATCAAGGAGCCGCGCAAGCTGTTGAGGATGCTGCCGTGTTGGCTGAGGTTTTGGCCAAGTGCCCAGGCAGTGATTTGGCTTCCCTCAACAAGTCGCTACGTGTTTACGAACTGATACGTAAGGAACGGGCCACTACACTTGTGCGGTGGGCTGCTGAGTCGGGCCGCATTTTGCATTTGGGTCAAGGGAAAGCAAAGGAAGAACGAGACAGGCGGTTTGCTAATGCCAACGCCGGTGGGCATCATCTTCCCGATAAGTGGGCATCTTCTGATGTTCAGGAATACATTTACTCGCATGACTGTATGCAGGAGGCTGCGGATCAATTTTGTCGATTGTATCAGAGTTTGAGCTAGATTAAAATGACATGTGAGGTAAATGTGCATCCAGGATTTCAGCTCCGGATGGACCTTCAATAATGGAGCCAAAGTCATCGTAATCCGCATCACCAATGCCAAAGCCAAAAGCGTCCTGATGCCTAAGGAACCCAAATGAGCTGTCCGGTCCGTACTCGTCTAGGCTAAGTAGCGTATGACTTGCTGCCATGGATTGCACGGTTTCGGGCTGCCGTCCAGCCCATAACGAGTCTTGGGTTGTTAATGGTTCGTTCCTAACCTCGTCTCTTGACTCTCGAGGACTCGAGACATTCTTGCTTGCGGAATCTGACCTAGTGTTAACGACGTATAATGATATCAAACATGTTTATTCGACACGCTGAAAATTCATACCTTTATCCCGAAGCAAATCAAACAAACCTTGAAGCCGTTGGTAGGCTTTTGAGCTCAACATGCTCATGCCGCCCAGTGTCCTCAGGTTCCGTAAAGCCGCTTGCAACAAGATCTCAAGATCAGGCTCTTGGGTTCCAATACTACTAACCCTAGTGTCTGAAATGTGGCTGGATAAAACCCATAGACCAAAAGAGTGCAAACATGTTGTAAATGCTAGGGAAATCGCGATTAGAACATGATACTTTGGGAAGCAACAAGTCTGCAAACCGGATACATAAAAACGCAAGCTATCAAAAACACACCAGAATAATTGCAAATCCACCATAGAGCATTGGTCTCCAAGAATCCCAGTCTTTTCTGCAAGACTTCACAAATCACGTAGTGGGTATCTCGCGCTGCTACCAGGTTTCTTCGTAACATGGCCACAATCGTTTCACCGGTTACCCCTGACAGGAACTGTGGCCCTACAGTTGTAAGACATTCTAGGCTTCGCATCAAAATTGCCCCGTGTACGAGGAGAACGACGCGGTGGTAGTGTAGCGAAAGGATGATTGCAAGTCTTTCGGCGTCTTCTGAAGGAGCAACCCAGTTGCCGAAACCTACTTCTGCATTCATGATGCCGAAAATTTTATTACAGGTTACCCAGTTGTCCAACCTTATGGAGAGATTCAGGACTTCAGAGAGGAGATGCTCAGTGGGTAGCTCCCTGACCGATCCGATATTCGACAGGTATATTTTGTCCAAAGCCAGACCTGTCAATTCATGTAGTGAGCTTTTAAAACAAAATTTGTGTTAGCGGAAATGCGAAGCTTTTATGCACACTGAGTGAATGAGATCCTACGTTAGCAAGGCAAAGAATGAAGCTGTGTTGTTGATAGCCATTGTCCTTGTTTCGATTTCTGAAAATTCGCCAACGGATACTATTTTCGCAATTTCTGGGCGGACGTAGTTCATACCGATAAGACATGGACGACCAAAGCACGCACTGAGAATTCTGTGAATGAAATAGAGTTAGAATGACTATAACCTGGACACTGCCGCATAAAGGAATCGACTTCGCCTTCACCTATCTTGAGTGACAGTTGCCAACCAAAGCCTCGCACGCAGTCTCTGCTCGCCGGCTCCAAGACAGGCGTACGTGGACGGCGCATGTAGTCCCAGATGATATGCAGTTCTGACAGCTAGTGAATGGGATGAAAGGCTTGCCATCGAGCGTCGAATGTTTTGCTCAAAGGTACTCAACAACAATAATGCCTGCACTGGACAAAGGTATCAGTTTACGGGATTGTATATAGTTTACATCTTCATCAGATACTTACATGTTTGGACGGTCGATAAATGTATAGCCATTCCGTAAAGAAGATTGATAACGCGCCGGTAGAAAGGTTCAGGCGAGGGGCCATCAATTGTATAGAGCGCATAGGCCAAGACGATATTTAGTAACGCTTGCCAGGACTGTGTGGACGGGCATGATTCATTTGCGTCCTCGTTCAAAACATGCAATTTGCCCATTATGCTAACTTCGTCGACATAGGGGAGAACATCGCCGATGGTGTCAAAGAACCGAGCCACAAGCTCCTCATTTGACGGGTACTCCTGAACGCTTTCATGAAGAGTTGCATGCGGTAATGACTTCCTTAAAACCCTGCTTCGGCTACCCCTCATGTCAGATGTAGGAGATGCTCGTTGCGCCTGGCCGCGAGATGCCTTGTAGCCAAGATTGGCAATGGCGCCAGATAGACACCAGAAGAAGCCGTGATTGGTGCTTGATCCTGCCGAGGGGGTTAGGCTGATGAGTAGGATAATACTTGTACAATGGAGGCCTCCTTTCTTACCAAAATAGCCCACTTCACCATTTGATAATTGATCGAATGCATTTGTGGCAAGAACATCGGCAAGAGATTCGCTCAGCGGTGGATCGGAAGGTGAGGTATGCCTTGGTTTCATATTGCGAGCTGGCTGTCGCAGCAACGGCCGTGAGACATGTTCAGAATTGATGGTGCTGGGCGTATCTTGAGCATCACCATCCATCACTACGGGACTGGATGAAGTCCGCGGTGCTGTGGGAGCCGAGGCATCTTCTCGGCTAGGCTGATTCAGATATTGCCGAGCTATCCAACTGTTTCTATAGACGTGTAAGCTTTATCTGTATTGTTCAGGGATGCGAAAGGCCGAAATTGTACTGAAGCTGATTTGTCATCAACTACTCACCGCCGTGCCATGCGCTTATCACGATCATTCAATGTATAAACGCAATCCACATCTACCTTCATACACCGTCCACATTTTGGTCGATCACCATCACACTGGCGACCATATTAGCTCAAAGATTCCACGAAATATGGACCTTGTCCCTTACTCTCGACTTTTTAAACTTGCAGGCGTCACAAGCAAGGAAGGTCCTCCTCCGTGGTAGTGACTGGCTTCCGGTTCCCTGCATAACGCCACCGGACCGCCCGGACACTAATCTGAGGTCAGTAGATTGGCTCAAAATTCATCATGTAAAGCCTCCAAGACAAGGATTTACCTGCACCCTACACCTGCTGAAACGATCCGCTTTCCGGCAGTCGGGGGAAAGCTGAGGGATGAGGTCCTAGGTCACGTCGAAGTCACCAGTCCAATCAGCGGCTTCCGAGAGACTCGATACACAATGCAAAACTGATTAAATGCTTCAAGACTATCTCTATCAGCGAGTTATCGGAGCCTTATAGTCATAGCCACGCGCCCAAAACAAGATGTGTCTGGTTTGTGATATCCCCGCATGTGGGGAAGTTCTTAGCGGCCAAACAGTATCCGATTGGTCAACTGACCAGCCGCGTATTGTGGCTTGCTGTGGTTATTGCCGAGAATGGTTGCCGTTGCTATTTGCATCTACAAAAGCAGGAGTATCCTAGACGAGCCACTTAGTCGCTGACGAATAGTTGCCTTTTCATTATTCATATATTGCCTAGCTTATGCTAAGAAGCAGCGAGTATTCCATCAACCGTACATATTCCTATATACAGTGTTCGTTTCGCCGACTTGATCCACGAATCCCCTGATAAGCTGTATACATGGCAGCTAGAATGACCAAGTTGGAAACGGGCTGTGAGGAGATTGAGGTTCGCGCATATCATTGATTACTAGACATTCAGTAAACCTCAACGTTCCTGTTGAAAACTAAGCACATCTTTAGAATGAATGTCATGCTGAGCTGAGCGAAGAGCGTCGCCAATATCCCGCCGCGCGTCATGGCATCACTAAACGTGACTCGTTACCGCAAATAGACGATAATGATCCCTTACGCTGGCCCAAGTCAAAGGTTAGTCTATCATCCACAAATGCATTACTGCCACGGATTCAGTGGCTGACTTCCAACACTCCAGAAACTGCTGAATCTTGCTTTGGTTGCCTTTCATGGCTTCATGGCAACTTTCAGTGCTTCCGCAATCATGTCAGCCTTTGTCGACATCGCGGCCGATCTTCACGTTCCTGTCCAGAAAGCCAGCTATCTGACATCCTTGTTCATTGTTATTCTTGGAGCAGCACCGTTGTTTTGGCGACCACTATCCCAGGCTTATGGCAGGCGGCCCATCTTCCTCATCTCTTTGGTGGGAAGCATGCTTGGAAATGTTGGCTGCGCTGTTACCAAATCCTATGGGACCATGGCCCTTTGTCGTGCCATTACAGCGTTTTTTATTAGTCCCGCTGCATCTATTGGGAGCGCTGTTGTTTCTGAAATGTTCTTAAAAGAGGAACGAGCACAATATATGGGTGTTTGGACCGCAATGGTGACGCTTGGTGTTCCTTTGGCCCCTCTTCTTTTCGGCTTTGTGGTACTGCGTGTTGGGTATCGCTGGGTTTATTGGATTTTGGCGATTGTAAGTTCTTCTGGAGATATGGTATCATTAACTTATAACCTGTAAAACTGACTAGATGTGGCGCAGACTAACGGCGTTCAATTCGTTCTTTACTTATTATTCGGGCCTGAGTCTCGCTTTATTCGAAACGAAAACGCAAGCAAATCGTTGATTCATGCTTCTTGGAAACGACAGTATCTCACATTCCAACGAATCGATCCGTCTCCTATTACGATATGGGACTTTCTCCACCCACTAACTCTCGCAGCACACTTGCGTGTCGCTCTTCCTGCTATTTTATATTCCATGGTCTTCCTCTGGGGTAGTGTTATGACAACGTTCGAGATTCCACAAATCTTCCCCGAGCTATTCCACCTCGACACTCAGCAGGTCGGGCTACAGTTCATCTCTGTTCTGGTCGGCACAATTATTGGTGAACAGTTGGGAGGCACTCTATCGGACAGGTGGATGCTGTTAGGACGACAGAAAACTGGAAAACAGCAGCGGCCCGAGTTTCGCCTTTGGCTCTCGTATATTGGCCATTTGCTCACCATTGCTGGCACCGTCGTTTTCTTTGTTCAATTGAGTAAGGCACAAACTTGGAACGTCACTCCACTTCTTGGAGCCGGCATTTCTGCAGGGGGTAACCAAATTGTTACTACTATAATGATAACTTACGCTGTGGATTGCTATCCTCATGATGCTGCAGCAGTGGGCGTCTTCATTCTTCTTGTTCGTCAAACGTGGGGTTTTATTGGCCCTTTCTGGTACGTTTTCTTTTGTTTTCTGATGCTTCGAGTTTGTAATGTTTCTTTGCGGCAACTACTAAGCATGAGTCACTACACCAGGATTCCTCAAATGGTTGATGTGCTAGGGCTGGCTATGTCTTCTGTACTAGCAACAGCCATGATAGTCGTGGTATCGATAATTCCCACAGTTATTCTTCAATTATTAGGAAAGAACAACATCGAGGAGTGGTAGTAAAAGGTATATATTATTTAGTATTTTCCCTCTATTTATACCGGAATGTTGCGAACAGTTCACTCTTGAAAAGCCTTTGCAAGTGCAATGAATTCCAGGTTCCATGTTTTTGTTAGTTTTTTCTGCATCCACGAAATATGAAAGGCTGACCAATTACCTTGTAGTAGAGATAAAAGGCCCTTAACCCTTCAAGCTAAATGTCAACACAGAGGAAACCAAGACTACTTCAAGCAGCTGTTAAATTGCCAAGCCAAGAGACTTGACAGCGAAATATTTATCTCAAAGGGTCATACTGTGTACTTGCAATGCAATGTTCTGGCGGAATTCTTACAACCCGGCTGCTACCTATGTCAATACTCGTGTCAGCAACAATTAACTCCCCCCTAAATATATCGTTTCCCCAAATATTATTTTGAGCAGACTGAGCTTAGCATTAGCACTTGAACCGCAGATGACAGTTAGCGATCTTTTGGGTATAGCAATGCTGACGTTCTTCAGAACAGTCACTGTACCGCCGCCTTGACCGTAAGGAAGAACCATCAGCTGCTTTCGGCAATTGGCTACCCAGTCTATGGTCTTCAATGGGCACATGGAAGACTGTTGTAGTAAAAGCCAGTGGAGGACGGCTGCCTGTGAACTCTTTTGGTACATGGAGCTTGAAGGCGACATCAGGCTTGCATGAGTAAACTTATTATCACCCCAATAAAGTAGCATAAACATCAAGCAGTGGCGCAATGCTCACCCGCATTCAAAGTCGGCCACCAAGTTTTCTCAAATCGCTATACTAAATCAGCCTTTATAAGCGATTAAAAAGTTTATTAGCATCTGATAAATAGTTAAATCGGAGCGTCTCGCTCGAAATATAATCTTTTCTAGTAGTTATTAAGAGTTACCATAATAAGTTCTCGCGGTTGAGGTGTTAAAAAATTGTCCGTGGGTCGGTCAACCTGGCGGACGTGTACAAGGAAAGTTGAGGTTGTTCCACCACCTTGGATGCTAGAGTAAAGGTGGAGAAAGCCTGGTCGACTATTGCTGTGCGGCTTTGTCAGAATAACCTTTATTCAGGAGCCTAGGGTCATTTCCCCCTTCCCAGCAAGCAATATCTTGTCCACGATTCGCCAGTCCCTTAGTTTGCCAGGAGTAGTAAGCGCTATAATTACCTGCTATCAGAGTGCTCTAGGGTAGTAGCTGCTAAAGCAGTATGCCTAGAAGAAGAATGTAATATTATTCTAATTTTAATACTATTTACAGTAAGACCTAAAATCTTAAGTAATTGCCAGTCGTGCCCGATCGGCGAGAATACATGAGTATGTCATAAGTATTAGCTGCGTATCATTCTATTCCAGCAATCTACGGGTGGGTGGGTGTCGAGGGCAGGATAATTTTTGTTAGACATTGAGCGTTCCTTGCTTCTATTTAGAGCTTTCCGAACATAATAAATAGGTTACAGGGTAAGCTAGCGCCGCAGTATAATCGTGTTCAGGAGCCCTCTTTCTAACGTTCTCATGGAAGACGGCAAAGCGTCTTTCTGTTATTGCCATGCTTTTCTTGGCCACCAACTTATAGAGACTACAAGAGAGCACGGGCTCGTGTTTACACGGTTGGCGCGCGCCCTCAAGTCTAGCGCCTGGCGCGGTTTCTGGTCCGAGCCCCACTACACGGCCCGCGGATGGTGCCTAGTGCCCTTCTAGCGTGGCGCTAGTATCTACCAACCCCACCTCTGGTTGATTGGCACGGCGAGCACCCCTTGTACGCTAGGTAGAAAACGGGGGGCCAAAAAGTTCGGGACGGCTCAAGTGCTGAGTTTTTGCTGGTGGCGCTTCCCCTTCCCTTCTGAATTTTGAGGGCGAACTAGTACTTCGTAGTTGGGGGGAGATTCTTGAAGTAATAGCAATATTAAACCGACAGATTAGGGTTCGGGTTATTATGCTCTAATCGTTCGAGTAACTGTAATGACTATCCAGGTGGTGGGAACCAGTATCTATACTCGGTAAGTTAAAAAAAAAAGCAGGTTTTCTGTAAGAAAGGGTCTGTGCTTACCGGAGACTAAAAATGCAATAACTAGCACAAATGCCATTTTGAACGCGCCTGAAAATAAACAGTTAAACAGTCGAGTTTGCTTTGTCCTACAACTTGCCCCCGCCCTCAGATTCCTTGACTCCGTTTCCGTCCCTCTAATCTGCATGATCCTGTAGCTCAAAGTCGGAAGCCTCCTTCACCTCTCTTGTTACCAAGTTCTCTTCGAGCAGAACAAATACAAAGCCGGCGCCAGCAAAGGTTAATATAACAAGTTGATTATATTACGGAAAAGAAAAGCTAGGGGCTCTCAAGAAGCTAGCTACTATTTATATAATCTACGCTTTAGGAGCGGATTATAAGACCTTTTATCTGGTGGCGATATTACATTGGTATTAGCCGATACACTCAAAGGCATGGCCTACTATATCCTCTGTCCATGTGCTCTTCAAGAATCGAATTGTATTGATATTATTGTTCTCGATTAACCGGTTTTATAGAGCGTATTTATCGTGAGAAAAAGTCTAATATCCTTATTATTTCCCGCTCCGTAAGTTACTAACCTTTAAGCGTTGACGTATTCTACTCCCGTGTAGGCCATGGCAAAATCCCATACATTGAATCGCACTTTTCAACAGTCCATGAGTTGTAGAATCGTGCCAGGTATATGTGTCAACTCTAACAGGCGCATTTAATAATCGGCGGGTCGTCGCAAGTCCGTTTATCAGGGTCACATTCGAAGTTTGCGGAACAACTACCGCCTTTACAGTTGCTGTTGCATTCCTCGTCTGTTTTATAAACGCCCGCTGAGCATTTTGTTGCATTTTTGCAGCTGCTGCATTGCCATCGGCCATTATCCTTCTTGGCACATTTACCGTTACCGCCATTATTACAAAAGGCCTTGCACTGATCTTCATGCTGGTATTCACCTTCCACGCAGTCGCTGTTGAGAATAGAACATGGTTAATACATGGTCATGACTCATCTGGTCACCTCAACCCTCTCAACCCCTGGCGGGATTGCCATAGAACATGTCTTGCGGACGCAATGATGGGCGGTTTTCGAGATTCAGGAAGCATTCACTTACAATCCAAGCTCTCTGTCAGTTGATGTGAGCCTGCTGAGCCATGTAAACTTGCTGGGATCCACGCGTGACGCATCAAACGAAGCTGTAGTACGGAGTAGAGTCGTCAGCGGATATTTTTTTCAACATGATTCCTGTCGCTTCACTGCCTCTCTTTTGCACCCAACCCCAGTGTCGTGTCAGGCCTGTTTGGCCCAAGTCAAGTGTGACAGCCGCGGATAATAAAGAAACTGGGGAAAAAAGATCTGTTGAGCATCACTCACTATCCGGATCAACGTGATCGGCAAATGCTCCATCATCATCGTCGTTGTCGCCTTCGCTCTGTGGCTTCATATTCCTGGGTAGTGGCACATCAATGTTCGGCCAACGCTTCATCATCCACATAGAGACAGCCGCTAGAGCCTGTCAACATACAAGAGCTCAATTAGCAAACAGACGACAAACAGACAGGCATAAATGAGTCAAATAGACTTGGTTGATGAAAGAGCACGTATTGTACTAACCCAGGAGTGCGCATTTCGTAAGAGTTCTTCGTATTCTATTCTTGACCCGCTCCGGGCCTTGACCACAATTTCTCGCGGGTTGTAAAATTCGATTTTGCCACACTCGGGATCCGAAACGTCCTGGAAATGAGCTACTTCATGGTACATGGTTACGGCGCGGACACCGGAACTCCATCTATTGATCTGTTGTTGAAGTAGAGGGAAGCTGTCCGCTTCGTAGGCAAGGTCTTTGAGGCTCGTAAATTTGGGCTGGTTTGGTAGCTCATCCAAAAAGCCGGGGCACAGGAGAATATAATACTCTGACCAGAACCATGTGCCTGGATACCTGTAGGTCACTGCAGCCACGTGTTTGTTTCCTTTTTTCGCATTCACGCATACAACGTTATAATCTTCGTGAACCTTTTTAGGCAGCTCTGCTTCGTCGCAGAAAATGTAAGTGTACATGTTCATTATTTTGAAACCGTATAGGGAGCGCCCAAAGTGAAGACTAGAGTGCCTTTTAAAGTTTTCTGTTGGAGAGAAACGGTGAATAATGGTGTTAGTTTTTCTATGCCATGTCATCGATCCATGTGCATTGGGTAAGGATAAGATGAACACTTACCCCAGAGTTTATCAGTTCCAATAATGGGCACCTGGCCCGACCTCTTTCCAAAATAGTTGTCCATGGCCTTTTGATACCTGTTCCAGCGCGACCACTCATAAGGAGCTTTGCTGATATCTCCTGCCTCGAACCAAGCCTCCTGAACCTTTTCCAGACGGCCCTTGATCTTGCAGCTGTCATGGATGAGAAGGTCCATTACTCCAGGGCGGGCAAGAGAAGGGCCGACGGGGCTCATAGTTGACGGCTCTGGCTTAACTAGGTCAGTTCCATCCAGGCTGATTGCCCAGTCACTTGTGCCCAGGAAATTCAGAGCTCTGTATAGGTGTCTTCGCTTCTTCTTGTTGTCAGCGCTCATGTATGCCACCCACTCTGTCTCGTCATATATTAGAATATCACTTAGACTGGCATCGTCGTACAATTTAGTGGCAGAAGGGTTGTTCTTGATAATATAATCGATCTCGTTCTGGGATATATAGCCCGCCGTGTCGGTACAGCGGCCTTTTGCGGCCTGAGACTTTGGCCCTGTGTAAGTGCACATTGGCCCAGTGCATCCTGGTGTAGCCATTTTGAACGAACGGCCGTAGCTGGTAACCCCGACGGCAATTTTGTTGGACGGTGCGCCGGCTTTAGTGATCATGGAGAGTGCGTTAAGAGTCTCTGTCATGTTGACGTGAGACCGAAGGCAGTTGCCAGCAGGGCAACCAGGAGTACTCCATTTGTTGCCATAGTCCCACTACATCAAATTAGACTGAAAGAAAATCCAAATCCGTTGAGTACCGTGAAACAAGCTTACCTGCCCGTGAAGATCATATGTCATGTAGACAACATAATCGACAACTTTCATGATCTGAGCGATAGGAAACCCTTTCAAGTACCAAAACGACGCCGGCGCCGCAAACGATAGCGTCTTGTCCGCGGGCAAAAGTTGTTTAAGAGTGATGAGGAATTTGAGATAGTTAATACCCTCCGCAGGGTCACCGGCGGGAATGTCGGGGAGATCGGGAGCGGCAGGATACTCCCAGTCAATATCGACGCCATCCAACTCGTTGTCAATGATGAACTTTGCAATGTTCTGTGCCATCTGTAGCCGATGAGCCGGGCTAACACCTGTACGGAAGATGCCATAAGTGGCCGGGCTGATTGATATGGAGAGATCAGTAACATGTCAAGTTTTCTTTCCATTTCACGCCATAAATAAAGACATGGTAACTGATACATACTCTGTAGAAAACGTCCACCCGCCAAATGCTAAAATCTTCTTGACTCCGGTCAGTTGCTTGAAATAATAGAATTGATTTAGTGTTGGCCCCATGTTGACGTCGAATGTGTTTGCAGTCACAGTTGCAAACGCAAAGTGAATGTGAGTGTACTTTTTCAGGTCAATGGTCCGGATGTCGACCCTGTCACACATCTTGGTGAGACCGTAGCCTTCGAAATAGCCTATAGAGAGGAACGAAGCCGCAGGTTCAGGGCTTCTGATAATATTCATGTTGCAGTTGGAGATGCAGCCATTGGTGCCGGGCTTGTGTGTACCAGGGGCACCAGTATCAGCAAGTGATTCCGTGCAAAACTCAGCAGTGGTGCCGCAGTATCCCCAGCCCGAGCAACAGGCGTTCAAGGGACACGGGTTTAGTTTGGCGAGGTCTTTCCCAGTGAAGGAACCAGACGGCTTGCGCGTGCCTGGCTTCTGGGGGCCACACGTTACGCCATCTACTGGTGCCGGCATAGGAGAGTTGCCGCTCGAGAGACAGATGATTTGGTCTTTTTGCAGACCAGCGCAACCCTGCCATCCCCACGTTTCCTTATTCCATTTGTTCAATTCGTCCGTTGTGATGCCGTAGCTAGTCGTGATTCCCCAACAGGAGTCGCCAGAGTCAACTTTCAAGGTGTAGCATGTTCCGTCTGCTTGTCTCTTGGGTCGCTTGTCCGGCAAGTCACCACCGGAGCAACAAACCCAGCGTCCCTTCATCAGAGTTGAACATATATGTAGCTTAGAATCCGAGTTGTACTTAGTGAACTGTGCTCCACTAATGCCACATTTTGAAGCGAGGGAGGCACAGCTATCGCCGTTGTCAACTTGTATAGCTCTGCACTCCCCTCTCGCAGTCAGTAAATTGGCGAGGCTTCTGCGCGACTTTTCGCCCTCAACTTGAGTAGAGTTAGAGGCGTTTCTCTGAGCAGTTGACTGCAGAATTCCAAGTTCCACGCTCTTCTCAACAACCCGCATTCCTTGGCTCGGTAGGCATTCACCAAGGGCCCATGTTCTGAGAGCTTCTTGTACCCGACCAATATCGTTTCCTTCCGATGCAAAAATTCCAATTGTAGTAGAAGTTTTGGCGGCATTGTCACACATTTCCAGAGCCAGACTCCCACTTTTGATGGCAGGTACTGTACAACGGACTCAGCATACGTTAACAAGATACGATGAAGCAATGAGGTTGGCAGTATAAAACACAATAGTTTCCAATGAGAAAACACATTGCGTAGTAAAAGAAAAAAAAGTCAAAAAAAAAAAAAACACATACTATTGTGCTTTGATTAGCTACTAGAAGAACAGGGGTGATGTGATCGGATGTCCTCACCAATATTTGTGCAGAAGCTCAGCAGCTCGATCCTTCTTCAAATCGGCTCCCGCATAGAGGCCGACGAGCGCAACGCCAAACTTTGCAAATAGAATTATATTTCCGCATGCCGTATTCGAGCTGAGATGCGAAATCAAAAAGTTGGCGGCAGACATAGCGTCAGACCGGGTATTCTCAGATAAAACATCGAAACCGGCCTTGACAGTTGCCTTGGTAGTCGACTCTCCCGCACCACACTCCGAGAACGAGGCAGTTGGCAGTCCAGTAGCTGGCGGCGCAGCATCACCATCTTTCTCCGGGACAACTACTGCACTGGTTGAACGCTTGCCGTCGCCGCCATTCAAGGCGCATACCCGAATTGTCGAGTATCTGCTGGGGCCATTGTGGACATTGAATGCGAAAAGAAGAGGATACTTGCACAAGCTTAGATGGTTTTGGTCATATAATTGCGTCCAGTTGGCTGAATCGGGGCCTGCTTCGACGCAGTTCCGTGGGCAACCGTCTATCAGAGGCAACGCCCATGGATCATTCTGAGGTACTCCAGTAGGTATCGGAGTCAAGTCCCTGAGAAGCTCTTCTTCCGTCCAACCTATTTTGTTTTTCAAGGTATCTGCTTCCTGGGCGAAAGCGTGGCCCAAAGCCAAGACAAGAGCAGCCAGTTGCGGCCACAGCGTACACTGCCGCATTGTTTGGTGGATGGATTAAGCCTTTGCTGCCCGAACTCGCACGTGTTGCCAGATTCCCGGTTTTTACATGCTTTTAGCTTATGATTCTGGACCCGGTGCTCTTATATGTTTACTCGGTCTACTCAGTTCCCTTGCTTTTTTAAACGTTTACATCAGGTCAACCTCGGGTGGCACATGCTGACACGCCAAGGAATTTCGGAATACAAAAGTGACGGCAATTATGGAATTCGTCTAGTATACCTCTCGGGTCATTTCTTTGGAATTAATAAAGATTTCGAATACAATAAGCGGGTTGGAAGGCTGAGTGGGCTAACATGGATATGAATTGTAAGGGGCCCGATGTAATATCGGCCTGTTGACACATCCCACATGCTCTGAAGACTTTTCCGTCGACATTTTTGCCCGAGGAGATTTCCAACACTGGAGGAGTGTGGAGTAATACAGGACTAGAAAGATTGGCCACCAGGAGCCGTAGCAAATATTGTGACGTTGCTGCATGAAGTTATCGTTCGAGGCCCACAAATGGGGGGCCTACAGACGGCACAGGCTGTTGTTCTCCTGACACAATGGATGGGCTCCAGTTCAGTGCAAAATTTTCTTCTCTTGCTCATTTCGGCATCTCATGATCCAGTTCGCATCCGGTGAGCCTCAGAACCTACCTGAAGTATACATCTCCTCTTGACTGGAAGAGGAAGTCGCCGAGGAGAGAGTTATTGGATAGCCGACTGTGAATTGCTTATCTTGCGTCGTTGACCACATAAAAATGCTAAAAGATGCAGAAAGCTGTGGAGCCTTCGCCACATGTAAGCACCTTGTGTCCTGTCCTTGTATATACATGTGGCATTGCTATCTTTCTTTAACCTGACAAATACCAGCAAGGCACATCTGCTGAACTAGACGAACCAGATGCTTCTACTTTAGCTTACAGCGTCTTGTTAATGATGGTATCAGCGTTTGCTTTGATTCTTTTGTCTTGTCTTGCACAACAAGTGTTGTCTGGCGGTGCTAATCAGCCAAAATACGCCTACGATCCCTCTACAACCAAATATTGTACTTTCTGGTATGACAACGATGACGGAAGCATTGCATGCCAGGACATTCCCAATCAATGGTTCATTACTGATGAACAATGGATACGCTGGGTATGTGTATAATAACGAGAAACGAAGGCCGGCAAGCAGGTTAACAAGATCATTTTTAGAATCCAGTGATTGCAGCATCGTGCGGCAACTTTGTCATTGGCAAATCGTACTGCATTGAGGCTAGTCAGGAGCCAATCTCTGCACCCCCTGCTACTCTCAAATCTACAACTTCTAGTAGTAGTAGTAGCACCAGTCTCAGTAGTTCTACTGCGACGAAACCAAACAAGTGGGTTGTTATTCTTCGGCCTTTGTATTATCGAGTCGTGCTAACCGGAAACTCTCAACATTTAGTGGCATCTCTACTCCAACACCAACTCAACCAGGAATGGTTGATAATTGCAACAAGTTCTACTGGGTGTCCTTGAGTGAAAGGTGTCAAGATATTGCCTCCAAAAATGGAATCCCTCTTACAGACTTCCTTAACTGGAACCCCAAGGCCGGCCAGCAATGCGGGAGCCTCTGGGCAGACACCTATGCATGTGTCTCGGTGATGGGCTATAAGCCACAGCCGACACCTTCAAAGCCCGATAATGGCGTGAAAACACCGTCTCCTACACAGCCAGGGATAGTGGATAATTGCGACCGGTTCTACCTTGTACAGGCAGGTGATTCATGCGTTACTGTCGCAGCTAATGCTGGCATCTCTGTCGCTGATCTACTTAAATGGAATCCCCAGGCAGGCAGCCAATGTACCGGCTTATGGGCGAATGCCTACGCCTGTACTGGTACCATTCCCGCCTTTCGCTTGAGGACACGGTACCATAATGACTGTACTGGCGCCGTCTACAACGACTTGTCTGTTAATGACGGCACCTGTATTCGCACTGACTGCTCTGTTGCATCTCTCGATATCTCCCCTGAGGGGTACTGTCCAGACGGACAGATTCAGATTAGCTACTGGGAGAAGCCTGACTGCACAGGGAAATGGTTCGGCTATGGTTATGCTAATAAAGGCCAATGCCGCCGTCTATGGGCCGAGGGATGGAAATTCAAGGCGCTGCACTTGCGTTGTGCGAAGAAGGAGGAGGATTGTGTGAGCAGAAGGACATGTACTTACGACGCGGAGCCAGCGACAAATTTGTGCTAAGCTGATGAGCTTTCAATTTGTCATTTTTCGCGTATAATAATTCCAAAATTGCTTACTTGGTTCGTTCTTGCTCCTAAAAATATGAAAAATAAGCTATAAATATATTGTGTCGCAAGCATGGCCGTCTTTAGCTAGACACTTATAAAGTATAGTTTTTATAGCCTTACTTTTTAGTAACTTACTTTCTTATAAGGAGCTTAAAAAGTTCCTTAAAATAATTTTTTTAGATAACTAAAGCTGTTATAATTAGCTTAGTAATTTAAATTTACAGGAATATAAATTTTATTTTGGTGTACCTACTTATACAGTCTCGTTGGTTTTTCTTGTTTACTTATCTTATTTATCTCTCCTTTTATTTCTGCCACTTCCTTCCCCCTTTTTTATTATTCTTTTTTTGGGGGGGGAGGGGTCTTGTTGGAAGGTAGCCTGAGGCAGAAGTCGTCGACCTGGCCACCTCACCAGTACATCGCCAAGGGTAAATTTTACCAGACTTTTCACCCTCGTCGCCCAACAACACACTCGAGAAACCACATCATTCAGACAACCGCAGCGAGGCGGCTGCTTCGGTACTAGGGATGGCCGATCTGGTATCACGTAGCTTAGTCACTAGAAGCGCTGCATTCACAACATTTTTCTTTTTGTTAGCCTCCCTGCCTTTCACCGCGTCGAGCGTAGTTGACCTTCGACCAGCCATTGGCTTTGACCTCGGACAGTCCTACGGGTAAGATGGCTTGTTTGCTCGATCGCCACATGCTAATTTGTCACGCATTCAGAACCGCGGTTGCACACTTTTCCAATGGAACTGTTCTTAAACTCGCCAAGGTAGAAGGGAGTCAGCGCTACCAGGCCTTTTTACAAAGCGAGCTACAAAAGCAACAAGAAGCCTGGTGGTATCCTTCCCATGCTGAGATACAGCGCGAAGACCTGTCAAGGCTCTTAAAGCAATACATGGGAATCGGTGGGCCAGATGGCGCAGTAATCCTTGCCGAGATGCTTATTGCACTGCGAACCTCATCAGAAGCTGTTCTAGGTGCTCCTTTACCGGCCACAGTAGTTATTACCGCGCCGTATATAATCGCCTGGAGCTATGAAGAAACCCTACAAATAAGTTACATTAAAAGGGCACAAAAACTCGCGGGCTTACGAACTGTAAAGATGGAGAGTATGACCCCTGTTTATCTTAGCGAGGCCAACACAATTCTTGCGGCCAATAGGCGTATGCTATGTCCAGATCTTTTTTGTAACGGCCCGGAATGGACCAACGAGAACTTTCACAGATATGATGTGGTGTATCTTGTCAGGTGAGTGTTGTTGTTATTATTACATGGAAAATAGGAAACCTACCATTAACGTCGACACGCGTCTTTAGCTTAACAAATCACTCTTTATACACGTCATTTCAGATATCAACATGCTTCTTCTGGCCTGCTCGTAGTGCCCAGCTTGGAACTATTGACCCCAGGTTCGGGTTAAACCAACTGGAGCAGGCAAGTGACCAAGAGATGTTTTGGCGTGAGCTTCAGGACCACCTCAAGTCCCGAGTCAGAGAGTATGTCAAGCAACCTGACAATTACCGAGAAAGCTTCCTCGTCGTCGTGTCAGGCGAGGCTGCGGATAACCCAAAAGTTGTAGAGGCCATCAGGGGAATAATTACAGACATGCAAAAAGACCCAGCTTTTAGGGTTGTGGAGACTGGAAGGGCTCCAAGGATTGAGCTGCTAATATCTGAAGATCCAACGTACGCGGCTGCCAAAGGTGTCGCATTCGGACAACGAATAAATATGGATTCGAGATACTGCGATGATTGGTTTGAAAGGGAAAAGGCAATGGGAGGGGGAAGAGATGAAGACAGTCGCGATGAGCTGTAGAATCATGGGTTGAATATCAGGGTTGTCTTGTAAAATACTTGCAACCCCTGTTACGTTGCCGAGGCGAGGAACTTGACGGCTGAACATGCAGCCCGAAGGGCGATACTGTGTACTTGGATTCCAATCGCAAATTACTCCGCTGGCATACTGAAAGCTGCCCTCAAGACGTCATGCCCAGAAGCTATTCCTGAAATTTGCACCGTTCGGCCTTTCTTGCCATGTGAAGCGCGTAAGACATGTCCTTGCTTTGCTCAACTTGTACACCGAGAATCGAATGTGCAAGACATGGTTGATGCAGCGCCGTGATAGTCGGCCATCGACGGCCCCAGATATCTGCCAGCTGGCCGTAGCAGGGTTACACGGCGGCACTGTACTGGAGCGTAAGAACCAGGCTGATGGGTATGGGGGAAGGCCAGTGGGCTTGAGAAGAGAGTCGTTACCTGGTGAGAAAGAAGACGTTAACCATCCAGATGTAGTCTTGTCCTGCGTTGACAGCGCGGGAGATGGAAGGTAGGGCCGTGGAGACTATAGTACCCTCTAGAGCGCTTAAGAATGCTGATATGGAAAGAGATATGAAGACGGCCCAGAAACGCCATCTGTGGCCGGCCGATTGCTTGTCGGCAGGAGGCTTGATGTCGTGCCCATCTTGTACGGTGCCACTGGGCCTGTGGTCCTCGTGGTCCTTGTAGCCCTCAGAGAATACCAATTCTCGCTGGCTGCTGCTGCTCATGATGCCACGGATATTGCTTGCGTGGCGGTTGGTTGAGTTGATGCAGACTGCTGGATGCAGCTTGAAGAGGAAAAGTAGAAGTTTCTTCCTCGGCGGTTGGGCAGACTGTTCAAAGGAGAGGACTCAGAGGAGATGGAGTGATTGAGCGAAATGGGAGCAGAGGAGGGAGGGACGAGGCCGGCAACTGGTATGAATCGGCATACATTCCATACAAAACGCATCCCTTGAGGCACGCATCATGGCCGCCCTAATCCCGCCCGTGTTTAAGGCTAGAACTGGGCTTCACCACCAAAGTTGTGTCTGACCTCAAGTTTTGGTTTTGGGGATGACATCCCCCACAAATCGGCCAAGGCTGCAAGAAATCGCTTCATGTTAAATGTTGTACCAGACATGTGACAAGATTGAAGTTGACACGGCTGGCCGGGTGGCAGTGTAGCCGTTGAGGATTCTGTAGCATCGGTTCGGAGACTCAGCCATCCACGGCTTCCGATGGCAGCATGCTGGCATCAGTGATACTTCAGTACCAACCTAGGGGAGTTGTTGGGTTCAATGTCAACATTTGAAGTTTGTATATGTGGTCTGGCGGTGCTGAGGGAACTTGGGAGCTCCAGATGTCCTACTTGCGCCGCCGTTTTCAACCTCGACATCTGGGACTGGAATGGCGACAGCAACTTGGCCTCTTTTCTTCTTCTTCTCCTCCCCTGGGAAATGACGGGAGCCTGGAGCGGGCGGGAGATGATGGGCGCCTGAAGTGGGACGGGGAGCATGTTTCCAAACATTGAATACCACCAGACAGATGACGCTGTTGTCACTTGTGTAACCATGCAACATCGGCCTTCGGACTCGGCGTCAAGTGCGCTTAAGCACCCTGGATGCTACGTGGGCATGCACGGATTTCACTTCATAACTTCAGGCTGCCCTAGGCGAGTGCGGCCATGGCGAAATCCCAATGCTCCTGGCAGGCGTCTTTCGAACAAATCTGCCGTATAGCACCCCAGGTCTAAGACACCAGACCGTCTGACTCTGACCCAACTGCCGCCCATACTCCGCACCACAGCATGTTGTCGAGCATTCAGACAAAAATTGTCGAGCCGTTTCTGGTGCTGCGCCAGAGTGTTGCACCTCTGAAACTGTCCCGATGGCAGTTTACAAAGCTCATGGTCAGAAGTGCGCTTGACGGGTTGCCAGACGGAAGCGTATTTCTCCTACTTTACCTCTTCGCAGCACTGCTGATAATCATTACCGTGCGCCTTCGAAACAGCAAGAAGGGTGTGCACGCGCCTCCTGGGCTTGCCGTGGTGAGGAGGAACCATGCGCATTACCTTGACATTATCAAGGAGGGACGGGAGCTGGTATGTGCAGACTTGAATCTAGACTTGACCCATTGATATGTCATGATTACCGTCTACCCTTCTGCCTGCCGAAAAGAACTTGGAGGCTCCGATTTTGACAGATGGCAGTACCCAGGTCAACCCTTCCTCGCTGTCAACAACCGGCACAGTTTTGTCATATTCCCTCCCCAATGCTTCGACGAGATCAAGCGTCTTCCGGAGCACACCGCGTCTGCCAAGGGTTTCTTTCACGCTACAAACTATGGCCACTGGAGTCACATTGGTACAGAGACACCGCAACTCATCAAATCCGTCATTGCCGATCTGACTCGTTCGCTTCCTGCTCGAGTCCTCACGCGCCAACAAGACTGCCAGATGGCCTTTGACGACGTAATCGGGCGCTCACGCCAGTGGAAAGAATTCCCTCTGATGATGACTACATTCGAAATTGTCACCCGGATAAATGCGTGTTCCTTCGTTGGAAGAGAACTGGGCACGAACCGAAGCTGGGTGCGGGCCGTCATGATGTCGCCCATCTTCATTCACGTTGCTGTCACGCTCCTCAACGCCTGCCCCCTTATTCTGCGGCCGCTCATGGCGCCGATTTGCTTCTTCCCTACCATCAAGAACCGGTGGGATATGGCGCGCCTTCTGACCCCAGTTCTAAAGACAGACATGAAGGATTACTACGAAGCCGAGGACAAGAAGGAGATCCTGCGGCCCCGGGCAGAGGGAAAGATACCCTTCACCGGATTCCTCCTCTCACGCTACCAGGCTGCTGAAGCAACCATTAAACAGCTGGTGGCTGACTACATCATCATCAGCTTCGACTCAACCCCGTCCACTGCATCGACGCTGTTCCACGTTCTCTGTGAGTTGGCATTGCACCCTAAAGCTGCCGACATTCTGCGCCAGGAACTAGATGAGGTTCTTGTCGACGGAAACCTCCCCGGGACCCATCTCCAGGAGCTGAGGAAAATGGACAGTTTCCTTCGTGAGTCCTTCCGACTACATCCAATTGTCATGTGTAAGTCGTCTTCACCCGTTGGGCCAGGCCTGCCAAAGGCGCCCATTCCCTTCCCCGACGGCCCTATGCTGACTTTGCCTTCCAGTCACCCTCCGACGCCACCTAGAAAAGCCGGTGAAACTCTCTCTTGGGCCAACGCTTCCCGCTGGCTTGATCATCGCTGTTGACGGACAAGCTATCAACCGCAACCCGGATTTGTGGCCAAACCCAGATAGTTTCGACATGGATAGATCTTATAAGCTTCGACAGAAGCCAGGGAATGAAAACCGCTTCCATTTCCTGACTACCGGCTCCGACTCGCCGGGATGGGGTGACGGGACACAGGCTTGCCCGGGACGGTTTTTTGCGACGAATACACTCAAGATTGCGCTGGCGCATTTTCTCAAGAATTATGACATTGAGATTAAGCCAGAATGTTTGCCACTCAAGCATACACCCCTTTCGAATGGATCTTGGAAACCTGATGATGCGGCCATCGCACGCATTAGGTCCAGATCTTAGGACGCACTATATCAAAGAATACGAAAATGATGGATACGGGCAGCAGGAGAAAGGATATTTGACCTACGTGGGGGATTTCAGTCAGGCATGCTTCCGCCGCAGCGCGAAGCAGCCTGCTTCGTTCGTTACTATCACTACCATGAAGCCAGCCGATGGAATAACAAAAGTCTATTAAAGTAGTGCCGGGGAGGTGTTTTTGTGCCGAATTATGGCATAGATCAGCTAGGGACTAAATCTAAAGTAGAATGCAATGAACTTTTTTTTTCATCATCTCCGAGGAAATTTTGCTTCCCGGCATAAATCTAGTGAAAACCCCTTGCGTGTGATTTGGAAATACAAACTTCATGCTCGGCACAACACATTATCAAGTCGCATAAACGAGCTCCTACAAGTGAATTTGGTTCTCCCTGGAAGTGATTCTTGTCTACGGGAGCAGAAGCGCCCAACCGACGTGCCAAGTGATTCGTGAACTCGCCCAACATCGTCCAGCAGGTCAACTGGAGTAAGTCAGATGAATTCGCTCCGAGGAAGGATCACGGCGGTATATTGCCAAGTGCGTTTGGGTGGTTGACGTATTTCGGAGAGCCGGAGCTTCAATATGGACCAAGTCAAAGCCAAATCTGAATTCGCAAGGATGCTTGGGGGGCGTGATGAAAGGCTCAGTGTACCGCATAGCGTCTGGTCACTTGCTTTGTCCGAATATTGAATCAACCCCCGAGTCCCCATTTATTCTCGCTCGTAGGCAATAGCGTTCCGGAGTCGATTTTCCAACCGTCCCCGAGCGGGTCCCCGATGCACAAGATGCAAAGAAGCTGCAAGGACGGTAACTAGACACCATCTCCGATACTCAAATTGCGATACCTATACCGAAGGATCGGAAATCGGTGGCCGAGATGTACAGTCGTGTGTGAATGGATTTCCATACGTACTTACTCCTGAGATGGGAGACTGCAAACATCCCCCAGGTAGAGCCGTGATCCACATCCATGCAGCTCAGTTTTACGTGCAAAGCAAATGCCCCGACCTGACATCGTCTGAGTGGCTCGCTGCTTTTTAGTTATATGTAGAGGTATCTGATAGATCAAACAGAAATAAGAGACACCAGTCTCGCTGCTTCTAAACTGGACCATCTATCCAGTGCAAGATAGCTTGATCAACATGGCGACTGTTGGCGAGCCCATCGCCATTATTGGCATTGGATGCCGATTCCCCGGTCAGTGCGATAATCCATCCAAGTTGTGGGATCTCTTGCAAAAGCCCCGGGATCTTCTCAAGGAAATCCCCGACAGTCGATTCAGCACAGGTGCCTTCTACCATCCCAAGAATTTTCACCATGGCACGAGCAATGTGCGCCACTCGTATCTCCTGGAAGAGGACCTGCGAAGCTTTGATGCCCAGTTCTTCGGCATCAACCTTGTCGAAGCCCACTCTATCGATCCTCAGGAGCGGCTGCTTCTCGAAACCGTGTATGAGAGCCTGGAAGCCGCCGGCCTCTCCGTCAAGGGGCTGCAAGGCTCTGATACTGCTGTATACGTGGGCGTCATGAGTGCCGATTTTACTGACATGATTGGGCGCGACACGGAGATGTTCCCAACGTATTTTGCTACAGGGACGGCAAGAAGCATTCTAAGCAACAGGCTGTCGTATTTCTTCGACTGGCATGGCCCGTCCATGACTATCGATACGGCGTGTTCATCAAGTCTCATCGCCATGCACCAGGCTGTGCAGACTCTCCGCGGAGGGGAATCATCTGTTGCGGTTGTAAGTGCATATTCCCGTCTACTGGTCATCACTACATCTTCATCCTGAGAATAGAGCTGGACGCGTCGCACGAGATGCTAACAACATGGTACAGGTGGCCGGGTCCAACTTGATATTAGGACCAGAGCAATACATTGCCGAGAGCAAACTACAAATGCTTTCTCCTACTGGCCGAAGCCGTATGTGGGATGCCGATGCGGACGGCTACGCTCGAGGAGAAGGCGTTGCAGCTATTGTTCTTAAGACGCTTAGCCAAGCTATTGCTGACGGCGACCACATCGAGTGTGTTATACGTGAGACTGGTCTCAACCAAGATGGTAGGACGCCAGGCATCACGATGCCAAGCGCTACTGCACAAGAAGCGTTAATCCGAGCCACGTACGCCAAGGCCGGCTTGGACCTTGGCCAGCGTGCCGATCGCCCCCAGTACTTTGAGGCACATGGCACAGGTAAGTGTGAATTCAAGAAGCTTCCTCATCCGCTTCTCCCCGGCAATCACGCTCGCCTCAGCTAATCTGCCAAGGTACTCCTGCTGGTGATCCCGTTGAAGCCGAGGCGATCAGTAATGCCTTCTTCGGCCCCCAGTCCCATTTTAAGCCAAGTGATGCAGATGACACTTTGTTTGCTGGATCTATCAAGACTGTGGTTGGCCATACAGAAGGGACAGCAGGCCTGGCGGCCGTTATCAAATCATTGCTGGCATTGCGGGCTGGTGTTATTCCTCCAAACATGCTACTGAATAAGGTCAACCCCAAAATTGAGCCTTTCTACGGAAACGTACAGATTCTTTCCGCAGCACGAAAATGGCCCAAGCTTGCAAAGGGTGGCGTGCGAAGAGTGAGCGTCAACAGCTTTGGCTTCGGAGGCGCCAACTGTCACGCCATTCTTGAAAGCTTTGAGCCCGATGAGACACGCCGCGGACAGTCGTCGGATTGCAGTAGCGCATGTTTTACGCCATTTCTCTTCTCGGCGGCATCGGAGAGGGCGCTTACTGAAACCTTGGAGCGCTATCGAGACTATCTTGCTCCTGGAAACTCTGGCGCTACAGTCAGACTCGGCGATTTATCATGGACACTCAGCAACCGTCGATCGACACTCCCATGGCGCGCCGTCATAACAGCCAGCAGTGACGTCGAGGAATTAGCCGGAAAGCTTGAAAAGGGCACCGAGTTCACTAGCGAGCCATCAAACTACTCGTCAGTCAGGACAGGAGGGCGCAAACCACGTATTCTCGCCATCTTTACCGGCCAGGGCGCACAGTGGCCACGCATGGGCGCCGAGTTGGTTGAAAAGTCGCCAGCAGCAAGCAACATCCTCGCCCGTCTCGACAAAAGCCTGCAGTCACTCGACCGTCGGGATCGACCGACATGGTCACTGCGTGAGCAGCTCCTCGCCGGTGCCGATTCATCGGTAGGCACAGCATCTGTGTCGCAGCCCGTCTGCACAGCCGTGCAAATCATTCTCGTCGACATGCTGAGAGCCGCCGGCATCGACTTCTCCGCAGTGGTAGGCCACTCTTCCGGCGAGATTTGCGCAGCATATGCGGCGGGATATCTCTCCTCCGAGGATGCCATCCGCGTGGCATACTATCGCGGTCTGCATATGAAGTCGGTCACTCAGGACGGCGCCATGCTCGCGGTGGGAACCTCGTACGAAGACGCCAAGGAATTGTGCGAGCTTCCAGCCTTTGAGGGTCGTGTCTGCGTAGCGGCAAGCAACTCTCCTGCCAGCGTGACACTTTCCGGCGATGCAGAGGCCATTGACAACATCAAGGTGATTCTGGACGAGGAGAAGAAATTCACTCGCCACCTCAAAGTGGATCGAGCCTATCATTCCCACCACATGAAAGCATGTTCCAAGCCGTATGTGACGTCTCTGCAGCAGTGTGCCATTCAACAGCTTTGCCCGGCCGACCGCAGCAAGTGCCGATGGGTTTCCAGCGTCTTCACCTGCGACATGACGGATATTGCTTCAGAAGCGAGTCTGAAAGGGAAATATTGGGCTCAAAACCTGACGAAGCCAGTCATGTTTTCAGAGGCCTTGCAAGTCCTCCTTGGCGGCGGTCAGGAAAGAGAGGTTTACGACCTAGCCATTGAGATTGGACCACATCCGGCGCTCAGGGGCCCGGTAAGCCAGACAGTTCAGGAATGCCTGGGAGGAGAGTCTATCCCCTACACAAGCATGTTGTCACGCGGCGAGGACGGTGTCGAGCCATTCTCAAAAGGACTTGGATATATCTGGCGAACCTGGGGAGAAGGGGCTGTCGACTTTGCCGCCTACAATTGCTTTATGAATGATGAACAAAGAAAGGCGGGCTTGCAAAAACCCGTGCCCATGAAGGGTCTCCCATCCTACCCGTGGGATCACAACCGGACCTTCTGGCACGAGTCTCGCCTCTCCCGGGCTTTCAGGACTGCAAAGGACCAGCCCAATGAGCTCCTTGGCCGTCAAATCCTCGACGGTTCCCCCGACCAACGCCGTTGGCGCAACGTCCTCAAGCGCAGCGAGATAGACTGGCTTGATGGCCACCAAGTCCAGGGGCAGACCGTCTTCCCTTGTGCCGGGTATGTGTCCGCATGTGTGGAAGCATCCATGAAGATTCGTAGCGACGCTTGCGTCCGATCCATTGAGCTGCGGAATTTCGTGCTTGGTCAGGCTGTGGTGTTTAACGACAATGACTCGGGGGTCGAGACGTTAATCGTACTAGACAGCATCACAGAGTCAGAGGAGCAAGGCTGCAGGGCAGCTTCGGCCAAGTTTTCATTCTACTCGTCGTCCAACAGTGAAGTTCTGGACATGACTAGACACGCCAACTGTGACGTCCGTGTCACTTATGGCGACAGGGCCGCGCATCTTCTCCCGCCCAAGTCCAAGGAGGATGAAGAACATGCCATGCTGAACATCGAGGCTGACCGGTTTTATAACGTCCTCGAGCAGCTTGGATTCGGATATTCTGGCCCGTTCCGTGCGCTAACGAGACTGAAGCGAAAGCTGGGCAAGGCGATGGGGTATATTCAAAACACGGCAAATGTCCAGGCTTCTCAGAAGGCCCTCCTCATCCACCCAGCGACGTTAGACGCCGGCATCCAGTCCATCATGCTGGCGTGCTGTTATCCAGGAGATAGCATGATGCGCTCTATATATCTCCCTACCGGCATCAGTCGACTCATCATTGACCCAGAGCACTGTCGAGCCTTTGCCGGTGAGGCGACAGAAGTTTTGTTCGATTCGACAGCGTCAATTGGCGATTCTGGGAGTCTTTCAGGAGACGTGAGCATCTATTCACCGGAGGGCTTTGCTCACAAGGCCATTCAACTCGAGGGACTCCAGACGCAACCCCTGTTTCATCCCACTGAGTCGAATGATTTAAACATTTTCACTGAGCTTGCGTGGGGTGTCGCCCAACCCGACAGTCAGGATATACTGGACAAGATAGACGTCCAGGAACTCGATGCGGAACTGTTGTTTTCCCTGGAGAGGGTGGCCTACTTTTACCTACAATCTTTGGACAAGACCATTCCTCGCAGTGCCCGTAAGAATCTCGAATGGCACTACACTCGCCTTTCCGCGTATGTAGACCATGTCCTCTCCAAAGTGGATTGCGGCGCGAACCGCTTCGCCAAGAAGGAATGGCAGCTCGATACGCACGAGGTCATACTTGAAATCTTTGACAGATATCCTGACAACATTGACCTGAAGCTCATGCGTGCTGTGGGTGACAACATGCCCGCCGTCGTCCGCGGCGAGACCACCATGCTGGAGCACATGCTCCAGGACAACAAGCTCAACGACTTCTATGTAATCGCACATGGTATGCCTCGCTACACTGCATACTTGGCCGCCTTTACCAGCCAAATTGGCCATAGATACCCTCATATGCATGTCCTCGAGGTTGGGGCTGGCACGGGTGGCGCAACCAAGTCGTTTCTCGGAGCCCTGGGCGACAAGTTCTCGACCTACACCTTCACCGACATCTCTAGCGGCTTTTTTGAGAAGGCTAGGGATGAGTTTGCGTTGCACGGCTCCAAAATGAGCTTCAAGGTACTCGACATCGAGAAGGATATTGAAGGCCAGGGATTCACGGAGGGATCGTACGACGTCATCATCGCCTCCTTGGTCCTCCATGCTACGCGGAACTTGGATGAAACCCTTCGTAATGTCCGCCGCCTCCTGAAGCCCGGTGGATACCTGCTACTCCTAGAGATTACAGAAAACGATCAAATGAGGTTTGGCCTGCTCTTTGGTGGTCTCCAGGGCTGGTGGCTCGGCTACGACGACGGACGGGCCTTGTCTCCTTGCATTGGTTTGGAGGAGTGGTCGAAAATTCTGAAGCGGACTGGCTTCTCGGGCATTGACACGGCAATGCCGCATGACGAAAACTTGCCTGTTCCTCTCTCCGTAATTGTGACCCAGGCGACGGATGACAGGGTCCAGCTCCTGAAGCAGCCTCTACAGCAGCAAGAAACGCCATCGAAGATAGTGCCGCAGTTGACAATTATCGGCGGCGCGGCACTGGCAACCTATCTCCGCGAAATCCTGGGCTCGTGCTGTGGCAGCATCAAGCTTATGAAGTCACTGGATGGTCTGATTCCAGGCGATCTTCCTGTCGGAGGCACTGTACTCTGTCTTACTGACATAGAGGAGCCGGTATTCAAGTCCATGGACCAGGACAAGTTGCGTGGGTTCCAAGAAGTCTACAAGCAATCCACCAACGTCCTCTGGGTTACCCGGGGAGTTCGCTCAGGAGATCCATTCTCCAGGATGGTGGTCGGGTTCGGCAGGACCATTGTACTAGAAATGCCGCATCTGCGTTTACAATTTCTTGACCTCGACACTGCCGTTTCCCCGGACCCTGCTGCTATCGCTGAGTCTTTGCTGCGCTTTCAGATGGCTGGGAGCTGGGAGAATGACGGGGTAATCTCAACTTTGACCCATTCCGTCGAACCCGAGTTGTATCTTGACAAGGGCGGCCGATTTTACATTCCCCGATTCAAGTTGAGCAGGAGCCGGAACAATCGGTACAACTCGGGTCGTCGCGACATCACCAAGCAGATCGATATTCGACAACAGGTCGTCGAGCTTGTCCCGCCTGAAACACAAGATGCATCGTGGTATCTCTTGGAGGGAAAAGAGGCGCCTGAACTAAAGGCGGCTGTAGAGATCGATGTCTTGTACTCAGTGAGTCTGGCAGTGGAGGCGTCAGGAGGCAGCTTTCTCTTCCCCGTTCTCGGAGTACGTCGAGACACGGCAGAGGTGGTACTGGCCCTCTCCCCAAAGCAAGCATCCAGGATCAAAGTTCCGCAGGCTTTTACTCTTCCTGCACCCAACTCGGTAGATTATCTTCAGCTATTCTATACAGAGCTTCTTGCCCGTGCTGCCATCAAGGATATCTCGGCGGGAACGCTTGTCATTGTATTGCAACCGACTATCATGTTTAGTCGCGCGCTGGAGCGCATTGCTACAGATAAAGGGGCAAGAGTCCTCTATCTAGCAACTGAACCTGGCTTGGGATGGCACTACATCCACCCCAAGGCTACCAAAGCAGAGATCCAGAACTGGGTTGCCTTGAATATCGGAGCGATTCCTCCATCGGATATTTTGCTTCTAGACATGGGCGCGGACAGCACCCTCTCTGCAAGTCTGCGCGAATACTTGCCGGCAGAGGTTACGAAAGTGAGGGCCGGTACCCTGCTCACCTCCGCTTCGCCACGCATTACCTCGGGCCTTCTAGAGCGAGACATCAGACCTATTCTTGTGGATGTCAAGTATTCGCTGTGGCCGACTCAGCAAGCCATGGAGACTAGTCAAGGGTGCCCGGAGTTGGAACTCGTCTCCTTGGGCGACCTGCCTACCAGGAATCATGTCGCCAGCCGCCCATGCGTGGTCCGTTGGCCACCTGAGTCCAGCACCGTTACCGTTCGAGTCCAACCTATCGATATGATAATCAAATTCCGGAGCGACAGGACATATTGGCTTGTCGGCTTGACCGGGGGTCTCGGACTCTCACTCTGCGAGTGGATGGCTAAACATGGAGCTCGGCATGTCGTGATTTCCAGCCGGAATCCCAAGGTAGACCGGGGCTGGTTGAAGAAAATGCAAAACATAGGCATGAACGTTGAAGTTATATCCAAGTACGTACAGTGAAACCCGTAGCTCTGAGACAGAGTTCTCCGCCAGTTTCGGTATTTACTACGCAGTGGTAATCTCAAGTATTCTAGCAATATCTACGATCGAGAATCCGTCCGATTCATCTATAATCGAATCTGCCAGACGATGCCTCCTATCGCAGGTGTCGCCCAAGGGGCCATGGTACTTCATGATACTGTATTCTCCGATCTGGACATGGAACGATTCAAGAAAGTCACGCAGCCCAAGGTCGAAGGAAGCATCTATCTAGAAGAGATATTCCACGATATTAATCTCGACTTCTTTGTCTTCTTCTCATCCATGGCTTGCGTGACTGGCAACCCTGGCCAGTCGGCCTACGCCGCCGCCAACATGTTCATGTCGGGACTGGCGGCTCAACGCAGGCGCAGAGGTCTCAATGCATCTGTAGTGCATATGGGCGCCATCTTCGGCAATGGCTACGTGACCCGAGAGTTGACCCTGACGCAGCAGGAGTTTCTCCGCAAGGTCGGCAACCTGTGGCTCTCAGAGCAAGATTTCCGACAAATCTTTGCCGAGGCGGTCTTTGCGAGTCAACCCCAGAACGGGGGGTCTTCAGAGCTCTCTACCGGCCTGATGATGATCGATAACGGCGATGACTTCAAGAGGAATATCACATGGTTCTATAATCCGATGTTCCAGCACTGTATCAAGGAAATTGAAGACGGTGAGTCGGCTGGCGACGGTCGGAAGGACCAGCGCATTCCAGTCAAAACGCAGCTTCAGCAAGCAGTCAATGCGGCTGAAGTACGCGAAATAATCCACGGTAAAATGCTATTTTCCATTTCATGATTCGAGTTTTATTACTTACATACATGTCAGATGTCTTTGCTGCCAAGCTACGCTTAAGCTTGCAAGTTGAAGAAGGTCGGCCTATTGTAGATCTCACAGCTGACACCCTGGGCATTGACTCCCTCTTCGCTGTCGACATTCGTTCTTGGTTCATCAAAGAACTTCAGGTAGAGATCCCAGTTCTCAAGATACTAAGTGGAGCAACAGTCGGCGATATTCTTGATACTGCGCAACAGCTGCTGTCCAAGGAATTGACGTCTTGTCTGGATCCAAACGACAAGGCTGAAGCGAAGAAGAAAAAACCAAACGACACGAGCTCAGTCAAGGTTGAAACAGTGAAAACCCCCCAAGTTAAGAATTTGACAATCGGTGAAAATGTCAGTAGCCGCGGAGCTGATACCCCGAAAGCAAAAGCCGTCACATTGCCCTCGGTGCAGCGGAATAGTTCACCTAAACTCATGACACATTCCGAAGACTCGGACAGCCAGTCAATGTCGAGTGAAAACGGCGCGAGAGTCAGTTTTGCAAGTCCCGATATGACCTACACTGGGAAATCCACTCCCTCCTCCAATACATGGTCGGACATTGACATAATTGGAGGCCGATCCCGAGGCTCGGTCTGGTCCATCGACACTGGCGACAGCGAGGTGGCTGTCAGAAAGAAGTCTCCAATTGGATTCGGTCAGTCTCGGATCTGGTTCTTGGAAACGTACCTGCAGAATCCGGCCTCGGCGCTTAATATTACGTTGATGATTGACCTCAATGGCCCCCTAGACGTCGACCGGTTTGAGCGAGCAGTGAAGCTTGTTGGGCAACGTCACGAGGCACTTCGAACTCGATTCGTCACTGGTGACACCTCTAGTCAGGCCTTGCAAGAAGTCCTTCTTAACCCAACGCTTGTTCTGGAGAAACAAGACATCGCCAGCGACACGGAGGCAGAGCAGGTCTATCAAAACCTCCAACAGTACAGATACAGGTTGGCAGAGGGGGAGAATATGAGGATCCTACTTCTCAGCAAATCTCGTCAATCCTTCCGCCTTGTCATTGGATATCATCACATCAACATGGATGGCATCAGCTTGGAAGTAGTCCTTCGTGAGCTACAGCTGGCGTATGACTCAAAGAGACTCCCGAGTGCGAGCAGTATTCTCCAGTATCCGAGCTTCTCCGAACAGCAGCACCGAGAGTTTGAATCCGGAAAGTGGAACGATGAAATAGCATTCTGGAGGAACGAATTTAGCGGCCGCGCGCCGTCTGTTCTTCCACTCCTGCCGCTGGCCAAGATACGGTCTCGCACGCCGCTGACAGCCTACTCGAGCCACACGGCAGAATTCCGCCTGGATCAGGAGGCACTGACTCGCATTCAGTCTGCCTGTGACGGGTCAAGGGCTACCCTGCTTCAGTTTCACCTCGCCGTCTTCTACACCTTGTTATTCCGGCTGGTGGAAGGGAGGGTGGGAATTCTGATCTTGGAAAGGCCCATCTCTAGGTACGGCTGGACCGTTGCTATCGACAGATCGCCGACAGGCATCGACAGGCCTATCATAACTACTTCTTCTCAGCGAGGCCCGGTGCATGCGTATAGTTTGCAAGCACTCAGCACCGGCCTTGACGCATCGCTCGCACGCCGGCAACACGCCTGGGTTACTGTCAGTTGAGAAATTTGCACCGGACAGCCTTACGCAGCGAAGCTTGTGGCCCCGGCAGCGGTCACAGGCGCTTCTTCGCGAATTGATGCTATTGTTGCTGTTGTTGTCGTTGCTGCTATTCATTCTGCTATTAGAACCCGTGGGGGCTGACATGACAGGGAACTTATGTATTCTCTCTACAGAGAGTAGTAAAATTCGTATATCGTTTGGCGGGGGAAACAAGATAAAGCCAGAGTTGATGGGCTATTATATAAACAATACGTAGCATAAAAGGCGGCTTGTATTATTAAACTCTGAGACGTGTAGCGTCTTGTAGTCTCCCCGATGCACCACAGGGCGTTGCTGGCTGGCATCTTAACCTCAAACCCGTTATTCATACGAGAACAACCTATTTGCTTGTGCTATTTCTATTTGATTTTGCCTCCGGCACGAGAATTCCGCCAACCCGCGATTATCTAGCCAGTAAGAGGCCCTATTACTTCAAGTGCTGGGGCCACACGGAGCAGTGTAGACCTATTTGACCGCCCTGCAAATGGCCGCCCCCTAGCCTTTAATGCATAACACCTGCGCAGGCCGCGAGTAGGGTGTGATTCGCTGAACCGGACTACCTCCGAAGTCTAGCACTTACTTATCCTAGGTACATCTACATATCTGCAATGCTAAACAGCATCCCGTAATGCGAGGCAACGTAGGCAACACAATAGCAGCGTTGGTTATAGGAGGTGGCGCCTCTCTTAATTACTCAAATCTAATAGCCGTCACCGCTTCCTGGTCTAGAGCCACAACATCCCTGTAATATCTATCCTCTTCGACTTTTTATTACGCAATCTTGCATTTTAGTGGCTTTATAGAGATGTTTTTTCTGTTCATTATTCGTTGCTTTGCGGCGAAACGGAACTACCTGCTACACGGAGAAAGCCCAACAAGATCGCGAGCCCAATGAAGAGGCACTGCGATCGAGGACGTATTAGTTACACAACTAGAACACGTGCCTGGGTAAGATTTCTAGGTACGAGTGTTCCTTTTATGTATATATCGTGGTTATTAGTCCCTCCCTTCCCCTTAGAAAGCCAGGGACCTTGGAGACCCTACGATATTATTATTGAATCTAGCTATTCACTTCAAGCCCTCTATTTAGCCCTTGTCACACTACCTGGGATAAGTCATATTACAGGGCAAGTGAAAAAATACGAATAAATCGAATATAATACGAATACAAAGCAACGAACAACGTTTAGTTAAACAAGGTTTTATAGTTTAGCGAACTTGCAAATAGTAATCAGATTAGAGACTATCAACCATGATAAATTGAAGCAGACTTCTTAGTCGGACTGGCCAGCAGCAAAGACAAGATAAGTCTCCCAGCTCACATGCAGACTTCACTTTCTCCACGTAGTCGCGAACCAATAAAGTGGTGGGCGTGTTAGCATTTCGAGTCCCTTGTTGTTACCAATCCCTAAATACTAATGATAGACTTTCCCCTGGGCTTATTGTTCTTGGAATTCAAACATGAAGTATGGCACGAGATAGGGACATAATACCCGAATTCTGTTGCGACTTAATCCGGTATTCCTATAATGTCTGGACAGTGACTACTAGCTCTGGGCTGCCCATTATTTCTGGCTAGGCTGGTGTTGTCCGAAGCAAGGCATATGATTGCATAATCCCCCACATGTCGCAGGCATTCCCAGCTGGCTTCTCGGAAAGGCTCAAGCCACGCCACGTCTCAAGAAGCTTCTTGGGGACTTCTGTATTATTTTCCCACACGTGTCCCGTGTCCTGTGTCCCGCCTGTAATTTAAACTATTCCCCATGCCGTCATGTCAGGTTCGTCTACTTCTGCTCCTCGTAGAGCTGTCGCCTTACATTCTATTACTCGCTCTTGGATTACTTCATGGCGTGCTTTTGTGACCTTAATATTTTAGCGCCAGCACGAGCGTGACAGTCTTGTAAATAGTAGCAAGAAGTGTTTATCACGAGTCACGATTGCCTTAGTAGTTCATCTTGGGGTCCGTGAACATGTTGCGCCCTGTGAGAACTCTTGTTGGCCGATTAGCTCACTCAAGAGCATTCTTCACCAGGTCGACAAGCCGCAAGTCACTGCCTAGATTAAAATTGTCAGTTTTCCTTTTATACAAATACACTTGCAGAACTGACCTGGAACGCCGATAGTTATAACCACGAACGGAAGTTGCTCGATACGCTTGGTCACTCTCGATTCGTAAGCTATGTGTCCAACTTGTGAATAACGCAACAGGTTAGCATGGGTCTACTGTAAACGTATATTGGATTTGATAGGACTCAATCGGGCTAACCAGCGGTGGTAGCCCTTGGATAGAAGCAATGTAGTTCCAGGTAAAAGCAGCCACTGGCCCTGGGGAACTGTGCAGAACCTAGCCACCTTATCCAGAAACGTAGTAAGAGAGGAGGGGTCTAGTTGTTTGCATCGTCACGAGACTTGGGCAAAATATTGCCGCAAGGAATGAGCATGATAGCCGACGTACAGCTATGCTGAGTAGCGCAAAGGACGTTTGCTTTAAACCAACGACGATAAACCTCGACATCTTCCAGAGACTTCTCTTTCATCTCCTTGGTCACCTTAGCGCCTCGTTCACTGTAGAGGGTGAGTGCGTGTCCTAGCCTGAGGCATTGAAGTGATACAAATCATTTCCACCGCATGTAAGGGCCCACGTAAACTGGTTTGCCAACTTTTTTCTCGTATTCGTTCCGGAAGTCGTCGAACTCGTGGTATCCGTCATAGTACAACTGTGACAAGGGCTCGGAAAGAGGGCTTGGAGCAATTTAGCTCAATTCAACTAATAACAGTCTTTGGTATCAAAGGTCCTTGGTTTTCCTCAGGGCCTTGAGGGACCAAAGGTGTCTATAAATACAAGAAGTCGGTGAGAGACTTTGCCCTAGTCCCGTGGCCGCAGCCCTTGTGTAACCTTTTGACATTGGGCCATTTCCGTGTAACAACAACGGATTGAAAGCAGCCTGAGTTATGATAGTCATTTCGCTGTAGCGGGTATTATAGAACAAGCCAGTTAAAACCTCGTCTCAGAACTCCTTTGTGGTCTTCCCATTTGCTTCATCCGGAGGACATTAGCGCCATCGATCGGCAATGCTCATCTTTGTCGCCTTGATTCCCAAGTAGGCTTCCAAATGGCCGACGAAGCAATCAACCAACGCTTGTTGCTTCGAGTTAGCCATTGGAAAAAAGTCTTCCGGGTAAAGTATTTCTGTAGGAAACTAATGCATTATTCGTTGTAGCTACAATACCCGTCAATAGCTCTAGGTAGGGTAATAACAAGTTTGTTGTCATCCTTTGCTCCAACGCTCGCAATCGTCCTCTTGACAAGTTTCTGCATTTCATCCAAGCTTCTGAAAAGCAGTCCGATAGTACCCATAAACCTCGTCACGGAGTAAGTCATATATCCAAAGTGACGGAAGAAGGCGCAGACCTGCAAGCTGCGTACACACCCTCCAGCGTTTTTCTTTCCATGTCGTATGGAGACCGAAAAGTCCGCACCACGCTGCAGGCCATCGAATACTTCCAGTAGCTCAAGCACTGGTCAGTTTTTTGTTGCAAGATCAGGGAGAAAACACCTACTGTCTGTTCTAACGGAATAGTCTGGCTAATTGTATGCGGTAAGGCTTGTTGCCCCCCCCCCCCTGTTGTACTTCCAGATGGGCTCTGGTAGCTATTACCTTGGAGGTTGAATGGGGCATAGGAGTTGATCTATTGATTTGTTGCCTCCTTTGAAGAGGCAAAAAAGCATATTGCTGTCTTACCTACAAAAACGGCACTAAGATGGATGAATGTCTTCATGTACGTGGCCGTTTTGTTCTCAGGTTTTCTATTGTGTTACTTGCACTAGGCACGATTTGACTGGGTTGTTATTATACCTGACAGTTTGAAATTGTCTTTTATGCTGAACTGCGGTATGGCGAGGGGTTTTGATGGGATTCTCTTGTTGTACGGTTGACTGGGCATCGTGACTGCGGTCTAAATCCTACCCGGGCGCATATTAAGGGGGTAGAACTTATGTGACCCTTTCTGGGAAGGGAAGAGGGACGTGGTAAAGCTGCCTTATATGTCTGGATATAGCCGCCACGCTTGGCAAAGTTGAAGGCCTGGGCCTAGAAAATAAGAGCTATTGGGAGTATCGCGCTCCGGGGTTGCTACTAATAGAACTTGACTTGGTGCCTAAGACCTGGTGACAGGATTTGGGCTGAGAGTTGGCCATGTGTCTTGGACGTGTTGAGAGTTTTGAGCATTGCCCTTTCCATGACTTTATTTGTTAAGAATCCTTTTGAGAAAACGTCGTCCTTGGGAGGCTGGAAAGAGTCAATCCAGTCTACAAGTGTCTTCTGAGAAGAATCCTGATTGATAGAGACGACGATCACAGGCTTGAGCTCGGGGAGAAGCCAGTCCGATGCAGCGCAAGTTGCGACCGCCGTTTCGCAGCTCTGGAGCTCGAGTTGAAGTAGAGTAAATGTCAGAGGTGATTGACGGGGTTCTGGGGAAGCGGAGACTGACGACGACGTGAGGAATGGCAATGTAGGTGACGTCTCCGAGGCGCACCGGGAACGGGCGGTATGAGACTGGAAGGTAAACCCACATTTGAACCGGACCCTTATCGCACTC